CCAAGACCAGGCCAGAGGAAAATACCAACCATCATACATATGGCATAGGTTGGGGGCAGACCAGGCTGAACCCATTCACATCACCCGCTGGTGAATCCGAGCACCAGCATAAAGTGTGGGTCGGGCCAGGTTCGTCGCAACACACACCAGTGCACATCTGGGAATGCCAAGGTGAGGTGAATGTGATTACAGCACACGTAAGAACCGGGGGGGCAGGAAGGGGAAGGAGGCAAAGCCGGTAGGGCAATGTGGGCTCCCCTTCTGAACAACCACTCCCACTGGAGAGCATGAGTTGGGATGGGGACAGACAAGACCAGGCAGGGCTATAACACCTGTGGGCCTCAGGTGAGTTAGATTGGGGAAGGGCCAGATTAGGCTGATTGTTCCAACTGGTACAAGCAAAAATTAGAGTGGGTAAGGTTTGGTTGGGCTTTGCACAGCATCAGATGGCAGAGTCTGACACTGGGGGGCTAATTCTGTTAAGTTAAATGCCAGAACCACCTGAGGAGTGCATAATCAAAGTTGGAGTGGCCTAGTAGGGAGATAGTGGGCACCTCCCTCTTGGTTTACCACTCCCACTGGAGAGCACGAAAACCAGGACAGGGGCAGGGGTGGCTAGACAGAAAGGCACCTGCCAGTATGTGTGTGGGCTGGATAGTAGGGCTGGTTGAGTTGAACTAGGCTTCAATGCCCATTTACAAGTACGAGAGCTAAATGGGATGTGGGACAGACTGAACAAGCCTGTGGTACATGCATGGGAACCAAGGTAGGGAGCAGGTCTGATGGCGGTTATGGGGAGTTGCCCCCAACTAGGCTGCAGCTCCCACTGGTTTGCATGAGGACCGAGTATGAAGTGGGTAGGATCAAGCTGGACTACATCACACATTGGTTCAAGTGGAAGACAGGGCTGGAACAGAACTGACCCAGCAATTTGCAACAACCAGCATGTGCATAAGCTGATTGGGGTGACAGACTGTGCCAGACCCTGTACTGGCAAACTCACACAAGAGTAAGTTTGGGATCATCTCAGATGAAGTTTCTTTGGAGATCCCTCCAACTGAACTGCTGATCTCAGAACCACAACCAGGAAGAGACTACGTCAGCCAGTGGATTCTGAATAGGTTTCACTGCAATTGGAACAGCGAGATTGGCAGCCCTTTGTTTCTCCCCTAACCCCAAATACAGGGAAAAAAATATTAGTGTGGAAACAATGGTATTACCCATTTTCCTGTAGCCCTTGACCCATTGTATGCAAATTAAGTAATATTATTTTTTTAATTAATTAATTTAAAAAATTGACTGTGATAGATCTGACCTAGCAATTGCAATTACCAATATGGATATAGGCTGATGTTGGGGACAATGAATTGGAACCTGTACAGGTAGGCACACATGCAAGAGATGGGTCTGAAACCACCTAGGATGAGATTTCTTTGAGGGTAGCCCAACTAAACTGCTGCATTCATTAACTCCAACCATGGGGAGAGTGGCAAGACCTGTGGTCTGACAATGGAGTACATCTGTCAAAACTGGACCTCCAGGCCGAGTACAGTAGCCTAGCAGCTGAAGTACTAGCTTTGCATGCGACAGAATCCTATATGGGTACTGGTTCTAATCCCAGCAGCCCCGTTTCCTATCCAACTCCCTGCCTGTGGCCTGGGAAAGCAGTCAAGGATGGCCCAATGCTTTGGGATCCTGCAACCATGTGGGAGACCTGAAGGAAGTTCCTGGATAATGGCTCTGGATCAACACAGCACTGGCCGATGCGCTCACTTGGGGAGTGAATCATCGGACGGAAGATCTTCCTCTCTGTTTCTCCTCCTCTCTGTATATCTGACTTTGTAATAAAATAAATCTTTAAAACAAATAAACAAACCTGAATCTCAGTAGCTTTGATGGAACAGTGGCCAGCATACCTAGAGGCACATGGAAGATATATCAGACCATTGGAACCTGCAGAAGACACCTGGTCCCATAGCAGAGGAAGGAGGGCAGAGCAAATTGACCAACTACCCCAGGGGAGCATGACAGCATACACCTGAGCAAACGGACACTCAGGGGTGGACTGCGTCAGCCAATGGACCTTGGGAGGACATCCTCATCCTGTGTCTGGGAGATCGACAGCATTTCAGAACTATAGAAACCACTTGAGCAGACCCCTTGAGGCACGCGGCACATCAGGGACCCTGGGATGACACCGGGTGGCCGTTCCCCATCCCCGGGTGCTGAGGTGGTTGGGGGGGGGGCTGGGTGTGACTTCTCCCCTTGTCTCTCCCTTCTCCCCGATACAGGAAGAAGGAAAAGAAAACGTGGAAACAAAGGTCTCACCCATTTCTCCCCTGGTCTTGGACCCATCTCACCCTAATCAATTACATAAACATCATCAAAAATAAAATAAAATAAAAAAATTGGGCTGTTCTTAAATGTGAAGAGGAATAGGCCAAAACCAAGAGATGAGAAAGTTGTAAAATGTAAAGATGACATCTGTAAGTCATATTAATGTATGGCTAGACGGAGTTGCACCCACCGGCACGTGTGTGGGCCGGATAGCAGGACTGATCGGGTTGAACTTGGCTTCAATGCCCATTGACACATATGAGAGCTGAATGGGATGTGGGACAGACTGGACCAATCTGCTGTACAAGTATGGCAAGCACGGGAACCAGGGCAGGGGCTAGGCCTGGTGGGTTTATTGCAGGTCGCTCCGACTAGGCTGCAACACCCATTGGTTTGCGTGAGGACTGAATGTGTGGTGGGCTGGGTTGGGCTGAACTGCCAACACCCACTGGTTTTTGTAGATGGGGTGGAAACAGAACTGACCCAGCAATTGCACCACCAGCATATGCATAAGCTGATTGGGGAAATGGACCATGCCAGACCTCGTACTGGCAAGCACACACAAGAATCATCCCAGATGAAGTTTCTTTGGGGATCCCTCCAACTGAACTGCTGGACTCAGAACCCCAACCATTCAGAGAAGTGCAGGTACCATAGTCTGACCATGGAGTACAGGTGTCAAAGCTGAGCCGCCTCAGAGTCTTAGATGGAGCAGTGGACAGCATGTCCAGGTGCACAGGAGGATATGGCAATCCACTGGATTCTGCAGAGGACACCTGGTACCACAACAGAGGATGGAGGACAGAACAAATCGATCAACTACTCCAGCACATGTTGGCAGTGAAAAATCTGGGCAAACAGAGACTCTAAGGTGGACTACATCAACCAGTGGATTCTGGAGGGATTTCATCGTGCTTGGAATGGCAAGATTGGCAGCAATTCAGAACTGTTGAACTATCAAAACCATCTGAGCAATGCCCTTGGAGCATGCTCCACACTGGGGACCATGGGATGGTTGGGAGGTTGGGCTGGGTTTCTCCCTTTATCTTCTCCCTTCCCCTAGATACAGGAAGAAAAAAACACAATGTGGAAACAATGGTCCTACCCACTTTCCTGTGGCCTTTGACCCTTTGTGCCATAATCAACTATACAAAGATCATCAGGGGTGATCTAACCACTTGCGGTGGCACAAGTGGTTAAAGTCCTCGCCTTGCACGCCCGGGATCCCATACGGGCGCCGGTTCTAATCCCGGCAGCCCTGCCTGTGGCCCGGGAGAGCAGTCGAGGACGGCCCAAAGCTTTGGGACCTGCACCCGTGTGGGAGACCCGGAAAAGGCTCTTGGCTTCAGACTGGCCATAGCATCGGCCGTTGCGCTCATTTGGGGAGTGAATCATTGGACGGAAGATCTTCCTCTCTGTCTCTCTTCTCTGTATACCCACCTTTCCAATAAAAATAAAATCTTTAAAAAAAAAAAAAAAAAGATCATCAGAACAAAATTTTAAAAAAATGTTGGCTTTTTTAAAGTTTTTTTTGTTTTTGGCAAGTAAGTTGGTTGCGATTAGAAGGAACTTTTTATCAGCTTTTCTAAAGCTGGAGCATTAATGTAAAGTACATGGATCATGGGGGCAGCATTGTGGCATAGCACACCAAGCCACCACCTGTACTGCCACCAGCCCATGAGTGCCAGTTCAAGCCCCAGCTGCTCTGCCTTCCTTCCTGTTCCCTAATGACCAGGGAAAGCAGAAGACAGCTCAAGAATCTAGGCCTCTGCTACCCAGAGGGGAGATCCAGACGGAGTTCCAGACTCTGCTTCAACAAGGCTCTCGTGGTCATTTGGGGAGGTCTCTTTCTGTAACTCCGTCTTTCAAACAAATAAATACATCTTTTAAAAAATGGTTTGCTGATGCAATACTAGAATTTGGTTCCTATTCAAACAGGTTCCCTGGAGCGCTAGTCCTTTCTTTCCCCAAACACAGCATGGAAGTCTGTCGGGAGAAGGAAAACGTGATGCATGGATGGCACAGAGCCTGGCACGCGGCAAGCTGAGCCACAGTTCCCGATTTCTCCGTCTCCACAGTGCTTGCCATGGCTCCTCTGACTTGTTACCAGGCTAACTACACAAAAGGATACCTCATTACACAAGGCCATCCATCCAGCAAGTCATGGGCCTTAACCACCTCACACAAAGCCCATGGCCAATCAAACACTGCCTCTATCACCCGAACTTGGTTTGTTCTTTTTGGCTTGTTTTTTGCCAATTTTATCACCTGAACTTGGAACAGATTCTGACGCAGGCTCCCTCTGGAGGTGTGCTTCGAGCTCTGGGAGTCCAACCAGCAGCCTACATCAGCCTCCCCAGGGTGCACAAACCTCCAGCCACTCAACCCAACGCTGGCAGGCCACCCAAGCCCCCACACATCACAGGGTCCCGGAGTCAGGATAGCAAAGCTCCATAAATGCATAAAGAATCACGTGACTTCCTGTATGCTGAGTCACGAAGTCCAATGTAAAGGCCAATGGAGTCCATGATAGGGCTGCAGAATGCAGTCAGCACCAGAAAATTTGGTCAGCTCAGGACACAGGTGACAGCTGGGCAGGCTGAGAGCAGGTACCACGGGGGCACCAAGAGCTGTGGCAGGATGTCCCAGCACATCCAGGAGTCAGTCACCCAGGTGCTGAGGTTTATTTACAAATAAGGCACAGAACCCCTCACATCCCTGCCCAGCATCTCTGCTCTCCAGACCCAGCCAGGAGGCAGACGTGGGCCGCCCAAGCCAGGCAGGGCAGTGACGTCCAGCCATGGACAGCCCCTGCTGAAGTGCAGAGACTCGAGCCAGTGACAGCAGAAGCCCCGTCTGAGTCGTAGTCCTCAGGGCTGTATCCGCAGAGCAGCGTGGGGCTGGGGGAGCCGGGGATGCGACCAGATTGGGGTTGGAGCTGGGTCCCTTGGTGGCAACACCTGGTGAATGGAAAGGTATCAGGAAAGGCAGGCCATGCCCAGTTCCAGCCACAACCCCCTCTTCAGGCTCCCAGGTCATGGCCACCTTCCTGGGGGTGCAGGGCAGGCAGTGGGATGACTCATGGGGTACCTCAGTCATCCCCTGCACAGCACTGGTACTCAGAGGACAGACCCCGGCGTGGCCCACCTCAATCCTGCCCCCAAGGTACTTGGAGGTCCTCAAGCCTGCTAGGAGCAGGCTGTGCCCACCCTACCCCTGCCCCTGGGGCTCCCCAGGCTGATAACAACCCCAGACCATACCAGACGGGCAGGACTGGCGGTGCACAGCTTCCGGTGGTGAGCTGTGGAGGACATGGAGGACCAGAGGTCCAGGCTCTTTGGGGTCGATCCTTTCTCGGGCTTGGGAGGGAGGATGTCCCAGCCCAGCAGGCAGTGCTGCAGATGACAGGGTGAGGGGCGCTAGCCTGGGCAAGGGCTCCTGCTGGTGGGAGTGTGTCCCCCACCAGGTGCTGGCAACCCCTGAGCACTCAGAGTTTCGTCCAGCACAGGGGCCTGTGTACCCCCAGATGGCCAGCACCCAGCATTTCCTATCCCTGATGACCCTGCCACCTCTGAGGTCCCAAGGGCTGCAGTGGGGAGGAAAGGACAGTGACGGGACCAGCGCTGCCCACACCCCTGTACTGCCCCTCACCCCAACACCCCCAAAGATGTACTACACTCATTTCCTAAATAGACAAACTGATTTTCCTCTGTACCCCTTCCCCTATCCCAGCCTCAGCCAGGAAAGGTGGCCAAGGATTCCTGTCCTGACACTGTGGCCCAGAAACGGCGTTCTCAGAAAACAGCCAGGAAGCATAAGCCCCAAGTTCAAGTCCTGGTTCTTCCACCAAAGCGTGTGTCTCACCACAGGGCAGACACCACTGTGCTGGGGGAAGCACACACGACACTGCACAGACGAGTCCAGTGCGACAGCCCGGGGCTGGAAGCCATGGGGCATAGAGGGGGCAAGGGGTGGAACACAAACCCCCTCTTTAGGGAGCAGGTACAGCCCGGAACTGGGGAGAAAACTGGCATCTGAGTGCAGCTACTTGCCCTCCCTGAGCCCAGCCCCACCCTGAGCCTTCCCTGTGCCAAGCCAGGGAGAACCCTATTCCCACCACCACACAGCACCCCAGGGACTGCTCACCCGGGGCAGGGACAACGTGTCAGAGGCATCGAAGCTTTTGCGCCTGTGGATGTGGTACCGGTGTGGGGGATCCAGGACGGACAGTGGGACACTCACCCTGCACAGGGAAGCAGCAGATTCTGTGAGGCATCTCCAGCTGCTGGGCCCCCATGACCCCAGGCCTGCCTTTGCCTCTCGAAGCCAGTGGCATCCAGGCTCCACAACCTTAATTGGCTGCTCCCCGGGGTCCCCAAGTTTTGCCACTCACCTGACCTGGGCAGGCTCCTGCAGGGTCTCAGGGCCCTGCTGCTCCCGTGGGGTCCCACAGAGGCGACAGGGGGTGCCAGGATCCGAAGGCACCAAGAAGAGGCGGCGGTTGACGCGGTAGCAGAACACACCTGCGGAGCCCAGGGGACACAGCCCTAATGGCCCTGGAGGCCCTGCTGTTCCCAACCACGGGGCCCACTCGCCCCACAAGCAGCTTTAATTCGGAGTCCGGGACCCGAGTTCCAAGGGAGGGAGGACTGCTATACGCTGAGGGCTGTCAGGAGCGGCAAGGGAGCCCTGTCAGCTCTGAGGGCTGCTGCGGGGTTGGTGAGATGGATCACTGGGCCTCCCACCCCGACCCATACCAGGGCTTGTCCCATCTAGGAAGACCTCAGGCTGCTCTCCTCAAGTCTTCTACACCTCAGGGGCGTCCTCAGGACCCCCCAAGATCTTGATTGAGGCCATTTGAGGCCACACAGGACACTGGGGGGGGGTGCCTAGGGCCAAGGCTATGAGTCCACACTCACATTCATGGTCCCCTTCCTCGCCATCACTCTCATGCACACCTAGGCCGGGTCTGTGAGCGAGAGAGGGGGTGAGGGGAGAGATTTGGAAGGATGGGAGGGCTGGAACCCCTAGGTGCCCTGGCCTCCTGACCCAACCCCACTCACTCAGAGGAGCTGGAAGTGCACTCTTTCCTGTGGGCTTCCCGGAACTTCTGTAGCGTCGAGAAGAAGGCCTCAGGCTTGCTGGTGATGGGAGAGCAGCTGTCCAGAGACTCTGGTGGGCCAAAGCACAGAGGAGCTGCTGGGGGCCTCGGCCACCGTCACCTGCCTGGATCCTGGCTCTGGCTGAGCCCAGCCCCAGTAGTTGCAGGCACTTGCAGAGTGACCCAGTTAGATGGGGAAATCTTTTTCAAATCTTAAATAAACGCAACAACACACACAAACCAGGGTATGTGCAGCCACCTTCCTGACTGCTTTTTTCTAAGAGAATGGAAACAAGGCATCCACTCCAGCCACAGGGTGGGCATAATTCAACCCAGGCAGCGGACTCTGCCACCTGCTGCATCACCAATGAACCTGCGGGCACCATGCTAGGTAGGGAGAAAAAACAAGATGTACAAGGACAGAACCTCTGCGTTCACTCACACGAGCTTCCTAGAGCAATGTCACAGTCAGGGCAAGCACCATGGTACGGCAGTTTAAGACCAAGAAACCTGCCTCTTTCACGGGAATGCCATTTTGAAGCTTGGCTACTTCTGATCCATCCAGGAAGGTGGCAGAAGATGGCCCTAAGTAGTTGGCTCCTCGAAATGTACACAGGGAAACCAAGGTGGACTTCCTGCTTCCCACTCCAGCCTTGGCTGCTCTAGGCACTCAGGGAGTCACCTTGCCTTTCAAACACCTGAGTCTTAAACAAGGTTGTAAGAAAATGAGCAGAGTGTGGGTGCCGGGGCTAGATGGGGAGCTGGGGGCTGGGAAGCAGGGAGGGAAGGATGGTGGCAGTGGCTGGGAGGAGGGGGGCGTGGAGCAGTAGGGGCTGGGAGAAGGCAGAGGTGGGGAAGCAGTGGTTGAAGGGGATGAACTTTTGATTTGGGAGATGAAAGGGTTACAGAGGTGAATGGCAGTGATAGCTGCCTAGCATGCAAACGTATTTTGTTTTTTCAAATATTTATTAATTTAGAATAAAAAAGATTAAAACTTTTAAAAAATTTATTTAGATTTGAATGGTAGATTTAACAAAGAGAAGGAGAGACAGAGAGGTCTGCCATCTGCTGGTTCACTCCCTCTGTATGGGCCAGAGCTGAGATGATTCAAAGCCAGGAGCTAGGAGCTGTTCTTGGCCTCCCATGGACACAGGGGCCCAAGGACTTGGGCCATCCTCCTCCACTGTTTTCCCAGACCATAAGCAGAGAAACAGAAAGAAATGGAGTAGCCAGGACACAAGCCTGCACCCATATGGGATGCCAGTGCTAGCAGACAGATTAGCCTACTGTGCCACTGCATCAGCCCCATGAATACACTTGAATGCCTCTAAGCTGCACCCCGAAAGTGGCTAAGTGGTCAATCAAGTTCGTTTAAGACACACAGGAGAGTCATGGAGCAAGAGACCAGAGGCGATCCAGTTAGGTCCTTGGGCTGCCATAGGCTGGGCACAAACATGAGACAGAGACGAAGAGAGGTGTAGAGGCCTGCGTGTGCATGGCGCCCAGAACGCAGCACCTCTGTGGCTCACTGCACAGGCACTCCACAGCTGCACCACCCCAAGGAGCATGGCACAGGCAGGTGCCCAGGCAAGCCTTGGCTCCCGCTCCCCTCCCACTGCCGGGCAGAGTGGGTGCAGGGGGCAGCCTTACCTGCAATCCAGTCATAGCCCAGGTACGGCCTGAGGCGCCAACTGCTCCCAGGTACCTTCGGCTCCGTGCAGAAAGTCACCCTGGACTGAAGCAGGAGAGAGAGAGGCTGGGCTAGGCCAGCAGCCGGGCTGAGTAGCTCCCAGTCATGTCCCAGAGTACTTCCTGACCTGGCCCAGGGCTCTGCAGCTGGAAAGCGACAGGTAGCCCCACGTCCCAAGGGGCCATCCCAGAACCTTCCATCCCACAAGACACTGCCTGCGAGCCCATCTGTTTGACAGGGAAACTGATGCTCAAGAAACTCCCATCTGTGGATGCCTTGCACACCCCTCACCCCATTACCTTCCTTTGTCGGGGCAAGATGGGCCTTGGAGCCTGTGTCTGCTGGGATCCCAGATCCCCTTGCCCTGCCGAAGGTTCTGAGTCCTTAAAGTTTGCAACAGGCAGCAAGGGTGCCGAGTGGGATCTCAGCTGGCCCTGGGAGGCCTGGTGTTGGCCCTTGGCAGGAGGGAGGGTGGTCACCCTGGAGCTGAGCCTGCCACACGAAGCTACATCACTTGGGTCACCTTGCTGGGTGTCAGGTGGGGAGGCAGAAAAGGAGGAGGTGAAGGAGGAGGTCGTCGTCTCCGGGGACAGAGGCCCCGTGGAGTTGCAGCTGCTGCTGGAGTCCAAGCTCGACTAGAGGAAAACAGGCCAGGTCACCAGGGACCACCCACCCAGCCAGCCAGTGCCCACCCATGAAGGCCCAGTGACAACTCGGATGCCAACCCGGTTCCAGGCCACAGTTTTCCCATCCTCAACCAAATGGGCAGCATGGACCAGGTGATCCTGGGGGTGTGGCTGCTGCCTGCTGTGTTAGGCAGCCCCTTCCTCACCTCCCACCCCCAATTCTCAGGGAGGGCACCCACCGCCAAGGTTGCCCGGGCCACCGAACGCCGCACGGCATCCTGGCCAGCCCACAGCTGCCGCAGGAGCTGCAAGTTGAGCAGCCGGAGCTGTGTCAGGTCCTCAGCCTCCAGCATGTCAAGCTCAGCCGGCCACGGCTGCTGGCCGTCGGGCCACACACCCTCCTCGGTGCTCGACTCTTCTGCCTGGGGTGAGGAGATCAGGACATGTGGCTGAGGAGGGGTCACCAGGGTGAGGGGCAGATGCTCTGTAACTGCCAGTTCTTGGCCTGGTCAGTCTTGGGTCGTTCCCCTGCCAGACGGCCCACACGAGGGGATCTCCCACCCCAGGCTGAACCCTTAGCAAGGGTGTGCTGCCAGACCCCCTCCACCACAAACCTGATTTTCAGAAATCTAGGAGAGCGGGGAGGGGAAATCCCAGGGCCAATGAAATTGAATCATAAATTGATCATATGATAATAATAATTTAAAAGAAAAGAAAAATTTAAGGAAAAAAGGGAAATCTGGTGAACTGCATGGGTGCAAATCTATAATCTAGTGAGCACCACGCCCATCAGGCCCGGAAGGCCCGCTGCCCGCCCCCTCACCACGCCCCAGAAAGGCTAAGCAACCTACCCCAAGCCCCTCAGCCAACAAGGGAAAAAACTGGGCCTGGAGCCGGGTCGCGGCTCCGGGCTCCAGGGTCGGGACAGCCCTTCCTGGACCTCCTCCTCCTCCCTGCCTGTGACCCCCGCCGGGTCCTCGGCGGGCGGAGGAAGGGACCGGCCACGCCTCCCGGCCCAGCCTTTCCAGGACAGTCTCCATCTGCCCCAGCACGCAGCTCTCGGCTTAGCTCCGGATGCGCTCGGCCATCCAGCCTCGCGTAGCCGGCCCGGCCACACTCCGCATCGGGGCACTGGACACACAGAGCCGCCCGGGGCCGGCAGAGGGGGCAGCGCACTCCACCGCACGCAGGGGCCCAGCAGGGCCGGGACGCGGCCACTGCTGGCCACAGCCCTACGGCCCCCGCGTTTCTGCCTGCGCACTTCGGGGTTCCGGCCCTCCTCGGGCTGTGGCCGCGCTCGCAGACGCGCGTCATTCAAAACAAACCGCGGCGCCGGCACACGCCATGGCGGAGCCCCGGAAGGCGCTCGTTCCCATGGAGCCCCTCGCTGAGTCGCACGTGGGCCCGAGCCCGGTCCCCGGCCCTGTCCTAGGATGGGTCCTAGGGCCTCCTCCACACCCACTCACCTCCTCGGGGAAGCCCCCCACCACCAGACGCGTTGCCCCCGAATTCGGTCGGGGCGGGGCCTCCGCCGGCCATCCTGATTGGCCAGGTGGGTCCGACGCCCAGTCGCTCCGGAGAGCGTCACGCTGCAGCCCGGAGCGACATTTTCAACCCAGGGGCGGGCCGATTGCAGGTTTCCATTGCCGATTGGTTAACGTCCGAGCCTGAGCCTCCGAACGGGGCGGGCCCCTGTGATGCAGGCTGTGATTGGTCGGGCGCAGAGCGGCGTTCGGCGAGGCAGTTTCCGAGCCTGGCGGCGGCCTGCCTCGAACCCACCACAGTTCCTAGTCACGAGCCTGGGGTCGGAAGGCTGGCATTGCGCCGGGTGTTTTCCTCCTGTCGTTTCCTTCTAGACTTGTAAATACAACTTGTGATTACTCACCGTCCTGTTTCACAAACCAAAACAACAGAAAACACCTGACGAGGCTATGAGAGGAAGTGACTTGCCGGGACATTTTAAAATAACTCACCACAGTAAGAGAGAGGGTGGAACTGCGTACGGCAGTCCCAGCCAGTGTCACGAGGAAAAGAAAGTGGCCAAACAGCTTGTACTCAGCACTACGTGGCCATAGAAAGTCCCGTGGAATCTACAAAAATCTACCAGGCATCTAGAAGCGTCCAGTTTTTCAGGGCTGCGGGATACGAGACTGTCGGTTGTATTTGTACACCTTAGCGGATGGTTGATTCTGCATTATCCTGGTGTGCCCGACCAGCTGGTGGGGCCTAAAGGAGGGTCTTACGAGCAGGCATGAGGCCTAGCCGTGAAGTTGCCCGAGTTCCACATCAGAGTGCTCGGGCTCAATACCAGCTCCGGCTCCTGACTCCAGCGACCAACCAACACACACCACAACGGTTGCACATGCTGACTCAACTACGTGGGTGCTGCCACCCCCACGGGACACTTAGATGGAGTTGGGGAATCCTGGCTTCAACCTGGCTCCGTCCTGTGTTACATATATTTGAGGAATGAACAGGCAGGTTGGTGATCTCTGTCACTGTGCTTCTCAAAGAAATACATGCATATGCTTGAATTGGTGCCTAAAGGGCCTAGTGCAATAGCTCAGTGGTTAAATCCTCACCTTGCACACTTCACCATCCCATATGGGTGCCAGTTCATGTCCCAGCTGCTTCACTTCTCTCTTTCAGTTCTTTGCTTGTAGCCTGGGAAAGCATCAGAGGATGGCTCAAACCTTTGGGACCTGTACCTGCATGGGAAACCTGGAAGAAGCTCTTGGTCCTGGCTTTGGCTCGGTTCAGCTCTGGCTGTCACAGCCACTTGGGGAGTGAACCAGCAGATGGAAGATCTTTCTCTCTGTCTCTTCTTACCCCCATAAATCTGCCTTTCCAATAAAAATATATCTTTTTCTTTAAAAAAATAATGCCCATTTAAAGACCGGGATATGAATGTTTACAGCTGGTGTAGCTGAATCCCAATGTTATCCAGAGGTGAAGGCCTGACCTCTTGGCTGTTTTGCCAAAAAAATCTGGACCTGCTAACCTGGACCACCTGCTCCACGGGCATCCCCATCATCACATCCTGCCTGTGTGTCTGCTGTCACTGCCTGGCTGGCCACTTGCTCCATTCCTCCTCGCAGCACCCAGAGCCAGGATGAGGCAAGTCAGCTCTGTCACTCCTCTGCTCAGAAGTCCGCAGTGTCATCCACTGTTTCACAGAATTGAACAAGTCCTGACTGTGGCTGCGGGACCCCAAGTCATCCCACGGCCATTCTCCACAAACTGCTTTCTCCTGCCACTGTCTTCCTCCCTGTAGCTCTGACCAGTCCAGCCTCTCTTAGTTCTTGGAGGACAGTGAACAGTGCCTACTCGAGGCCTTGGCACACCCTGCCACTGCTGCCTCAGAGCCCCATCCAGGCATCATGTGACAGTTTTCTGCCAGCCTCATTTAAGTGTCAAATCACAAATCACAGGGAGGTCCAGCCAAGCTCACTATTGTTACCGTCAGTCACATCTTCCTCTTTAAACAGAGTCATTCATCCACTGTTTTACTTCCCAAATGGCCACAACAGTTGGAGCTCAACCGAGCCCAAGCCAGGAGCTTCCTCCAGGTCTCCCATGTGAGTGCCAGCAGCCCAAGCACTTGGATCACCTTCTGTTGCTTTCCCAGGCCATCAGCAAGGAGCTGGGTTGGAACCCGGCATCTGGGACACAAACCAGCCCTATATGGGATGCCTGTTACAGACGGTGGCTTAACCAGCTGTGCCACTACACTGGCCCCCACGTCTTCCTCTTTCACCCAGTTCATGTTCCTATTGCCTGCTTGTATGCCCCATAAAGGCAGAGGTGTCTATGTCTTGTTCCTATGTGACTTTCCTGGAGCCATGCTTAGCACATAGGAGACACTACAAGATTTTGTTCAATTACCAGACTAGACTTTTCAAGAGTATGATTCACGTGTGCAATTGACACTGGCTAAGTGCCCAGTAAAAAAGTGGTTCTTCTTAAAAAAAGATTTATTTATTTTTATTTGTAAGGCAGAATTACAGGAGGAGACAGAGAGGTCTTCTGTCTGGTTTTCTCTCCAAATGGCCACCACGGCCAGAGCTGAGCTGATCCAAAGCCAAGATTCACAAGCTTCATCTGGGTCTCCCACATGGGTGCAGGGTCCCAAGAACTTGAGCCATCCTTTCCCAGGCCATAAAAAGGGAGCTGGATGGGAAATGGAACAGCTGGGATGTGAACCAATACATACAGGATGCTGATACCGCAGGTAGAGGATGAGTGTTTGCCACTGTGCTGGACCCAAAGCTGGCTATTCTCATCTCAAGCCTAAGACCGTACCTTTGGAACCTGTACCTGTGAGGACAGTGAGCAGGCCGGTGCCTGCAAGGAGGGTGCCATTTGAGGAGGAAGCTTGCAGATGCAGGGCTGTGTGTCCCTAGCCAGCACTGTGTGGGGTAACCTCCTGGCTCCCAAATCTGTAATTTGGGGACTTCCTAACCATAGGACTGAAAACTCCAGCCCTTTGTTTCCCAGAAGCCCCATGGACAGGTGAGGCAGGCTGGGAATGCAGAGATGAATCTGGCTATGACTGGGACAGTCACCTGCTGTAATGAGGCACGCTGCATGGCCACCCAGGAGGAGCTGGGGGGCTTGCTATTACACAAATGACCAGTGCAGCACGATGGGTAACTCCTTCAAAACTCTATTTCACTTAATCATCATTGTACATCTCAGATCACAATGTATTTCTAATTACAGGTCAGGGAAAAGTGAGGGGCAGGTGTCTCACAGCAGGCTAAGCCGCTATCCAGAGTAGGCCCCTCTGCTTCCCGTCCAGCTGGAGGCGCAGGTGAAATTTCAAGTACTTGGGTCCCTGCCACTCCTGTGGGAGACCCGGATGGAGTCCCTGGCTCCCGATTTCAGCCTGGCTCGGTCCCAGCTATTGTAGGCATCTGACAGTTGTGGGAGGCTAACCAGTGAATAGAAGCACTTTCAAATATATGTGTGTGTGCATATATGATATATATATTATATATATTTAAATATATATATTTTTAAGATTCTTATTGGAAAAGCAAATTTACCAAGGAAGAGAGACAAAGATATTCCATATGCTGGATCATTCTCCAAATGGCCACAATGGCTGTAGCTGACCTGATCTGAAGCCAGAAGCCTCTTCCAGGTCTCCCACATGGGTGCAGGGACCCAAGGACCTCCATTGCTCTCCCAGACCATAAGGAAGGAGCTGGATGGAAAGGGGAGCAGCCAGGATATGAACTCTCGCTTTCATTGGAGGATTAGTTACTTGAGCCATCGCGCCAACCCCCACATTACTTTTAAAGCCATGAGCATTCAGGAAATGAAGCCCTGTGCTCCACCAACCCCTTCACTCCTCAGCTGCTGGGAGCAAGCCATGCTAAGGCCTCAGCCCATGTCCACACTGGGAGGGCACCTGTTGCTGCCTGACTACACCACCATTCCAAGTCCTGCCCAGCAGGTTTCCAGTGGCATGTTACAGTAGCTCTGTCCCCACAAGCTGCAGGGCAGATCAGTGGTTGGGCTGTGCTAGGGCAGGGTTCTCATTTCTTTGCCCTGTGAGCCAATTCCTTGCCACACAGACGCCTGGAAGCTATCACTAAACGGAACGGACATGGCCTTGGCCTTGCAGAGTGCACAGGTCCACAGGCAGACACAACAGAACATTTACCAGGTACTAAATTTTAGCCATGAGAAAAATGGGCATGTGTGACGGTGGACCTGGGATGTGTAGCCAGGGAGGAACCACTGCTGTTAGCTGCAGCATGGGGCCTCTGAACCAGGTGTGTGGGGCAGGCAGTGGGTGATGTGTGAGGAAGGACAGCCTGCACAAGCAGAGTCACAGCAGGTGAACCCTGGTCTGCAGTTCCAGAGAAAGCCACAGAGCAATCAGCCCGCAGCTCCTGGTCCTCCTTGGTTTGTGCCTTGGTCTGTTCTGCAAGCCAGACTCCTGCTGAGATGTCAGAGGCATCCCGGGCAGGTTATGGTGAGAAATCTTCCCAGAGAACACGGCATGTATGTGTGGGGGGCACTGGACAGGAACTGATGTGAGGAGAGCCCACGAGGGTTTCCAACTAGGTTTTATTTTAGGTTCCAGTAGGGTCAGCAGTGAAACAGGAGTAACTCGGGCAAACACCGAAGAGGAGACTGGCGGGCACACCTTGCACCCCAGCAAGTGAACAAACAGGACAGAGCTAGCAGCATCCAAGTAAAGTGCTTCCGGCCACACTTCCTTCAGAAAGGGTCTCTCCTTCAGACTTAGATCTGACTGTGCAAGAAGCTTCATAGTTCATTTATTCCCCAGGGGCTAGGTTGAAAAAAACTCATGTGTATTCTATTTTTTTTTTCAAAAAGAGCACAAAATTCATTGGAATTATGTGACACTGATTTCCTGACATGCTGCAGGGTAACCCCATGGCTCCCCAACAAGGCCTGGTATCACATTCAGATGGCTCTCATTGTCACATGTCACCCTTGACAAAGTCCAGCACTCCTGCCCACCCCACAGAGCAGATGCAGGGTGGAGGCGCAGAAGGTACAAGGATTACCGATTCATCTCCCCACAGAGGATGGTGCTGGGCTCAAGGCCAGCAGGACACACCTACCTGCTGAGGCCTGCCTACGAGACTGACCTGCTGGAAAGGTCTCACTCCCTAACACTGCTTTCCGACCTCAACATCTGGGGACAGAAGCCGGCCCCCACTTGTGACCCCATCGGCAGGGGGCTGTGGGTCTCCAGGGCCAGGGAGGGCACTGAGCTCCCCACTGTTTTGCAGCCACCTGCAGAGAATGGCACAGGGAGCAGTCTGGGGGACAGGTGGTTGAGGGCAGCTCAGGGCAGGGAGGGGATGGGGACATGTCTCCGGTTACAACAGGGACGCTATGGAGCCAGTGGGATGGGGCACAGCGCGGGAACCCTTAGCAGAACAAGGTGCACTTCCCCATTTCCCGCTTACCTACTCCCACCCTTCCTTTTACATTCTTTAACCACTTGGTCCAGGCCAGCTTTTACCACAACAAAACAAGGCCATCCAGGTGACGGCTCCACCCAGAGCAAGGGACACGGGCCCTCCTTGCCCCATGATGGCTTCCCACTCCCCCAGCACCACATGCATCCAATGCCATCCAAATCCCTTCTCGGCTCTCTTACCACTCAAAACCCTCTGTGGCGCCCTTCCCTCTTCTAGGGTACTGGACCTGCCTCAGCCTCAGGCCCCAAGCCTGAAGAGCATGACAGATGGGAGGAAACACGGCAGCTGGAGGATCAAACCCAGCGGAGCTGCACGGCCTTCTCAGGACGGTGCCTAATGCTTCTGGGAATACGCCCAGTCCCCTAGGGCAGCCTCCCTGCAGGCGTGCTGGAGTGCCAGGAGGGTAGTGCACAGGCCACTGGGAGGTGGAGCTGTCTGCCTAGGCGTGCCAGGTCCAGTGTGTCACCCTGCAGTGCTGACTTCCTGAGACCTCATCAAGTCACCGACTCATGCTGTCAGGTGGAGCTGATGAGGTGGAGGCAAGCTCCGGCTCTTACCCCACCCACACTGCACATGGCGCTGTCAGAAAGTCTCCCTGGAGGACTGAGCACAACTTCCTGCAAGAGCAGGCAGAGGGGGAAATGACTAGTGCTGAGGGCTGGGAACGGTATGACACAGGGGTGCTTTCATTCGGCAGTGGCCAGGACCAGAGCTGCGCTGTGGGGCTGGTGTCATTGCCCCTTCTCTGCGCAGGCTCCACTCCACGGTGCCCACTATCTGCTGGGCTGCAGGTACTGGTGTGTGAACATGTTGAGCTCGCTGTCCAGCCACCCAGCTTTATTCCTGCAAGGAAACAGTCAGTGTGCAACACTGCATGCCAAGCCAGGGTCAGTACTAGCAGCAGCACCCTAAGGACCTGGGACAGGGGGCCTTCAATCACCCGCCAGTAATCCTGCTTACTTCATTATACCGACAGAAAGAGGCCCGCAGAGGTCACTAATGTCGCCAGGTTACACAGTCAAACAGATGGAGCTGCAGGGCTGGCACTACTGTCAGACCTGCTGGGAGGTCTGGCTCTCTGTCAAGCCAGGGCTTGGGGCCCTGACACATGGTCCTTTCAAGGCTCAACTCTGTCCCTGAGACTGACAAGCAGCTGCCTGAGAACCCCAGTGTGCCCCTAGGGAGCACCTGTCCCAGGATGATGGCCAGGGAGGGTGGGGCACAACCGCACAGGCTGGGCAGGGAAAGTCCCCACTCGGGGCGGGAGGTTGAAGGCAGTGCCCTCTGCTGTACCAGCCTCTGCTCTGCTACCCTGTGGGCCTCTGTAGTGGGGGCAGGGCAAGAAGTGCAGGGTCCCCATGTCCTGATGCTGTCATGGGCCAAGGACTCCAGCAGAGCCCCACCCTGTGCCATTCTGTAACTTCCATGACAAGAATATCACACAGGAGAGCCAAGCTGAACGAGCCCAGACCTCCAGCCTCCTGCTGACGCCCACTACAGGGCTCAAGGCCATTCCAATCCCGGCTTTGCCAGTCACCACTGGAAAAATGTGGAGGGCACAGCAGGCTGGCTCACCGCTAGGACAACCAGTGTGTGTCTGTCAGGACCCAGGCACAGGTGGCCTCTAGTCCTGGGCTGGCCATTTCCTGTAGGATCCCAGATAAGTTACCAACGTCCCTACCTAGGAAATGGAGTTGCCACAACCCTCGCAGACTGTACAGGGCTTCAAGGAACAGCTCCAGCGCTCCGAGCCCAAGTGCCAGGGGCAGTGAGAACACAGTTTGCTGAGCCTCCAGAGCTAGCCCGTCATGCCCAGCGGCTGGGGTGGTGCCAGGGATGCATGCTGCCTGACCAGCCTCACCTGAGCAGCTTGGCTTTGCTCTGCAGAGCATCAAGTGCCTCGATTTTCTTATTCATGGTGCCAATCTCCTGCTCCAGGTTCTCCCGGGTGACATCCACTTGCTGGCAGAGATGAGCAAAGGTCCCAGACAGTTCCCTGGGTGGGAGAGGGGAGCTCAGTGGGACACCTTACTGTTGGCACAGGATACTACCTGCAGCAGGACTGCAGCTGGGCCTGGCCACATCCCCGCCAGTGCCTAGGCCCAGAGCCATGCCTAACTGGGCAGAAACTTTCCTTCCCCTGTTGAAGCTGGGAGCAGTTCTAACAGCCCTGCACTTGGCATGACCACGGCGTGAAAAGCACCTGAGCAGAGCAGCCCGGCCTGGGCACAAGGAACCAGAATCCATATCCAGCTCATGCTGCTACTGCTAACCAGCCACATGGAAGGGGACGTGGCAGGGGACACACGACTATTCTCCGAATAGTCCTCATCTTGAAAAACAGGAGCTGCCTCAAAGGGTTCGAGGAGCAAATGAAAACCATGCACAATGCCAGCCAAAGGATCTGCTGCACTACAACACCAACACCTCCTTCCCCTCCCCCAACCTGACAGGTGCCCTGAGGAACACGCAGCCTTCCAGAACCACAAAGCTGTCCACACCCACACCCTTCAAGTTAACTTCCTCAGGCTCCACAGCAAGAGTACCTCCTTGTCCCACCTTTCTCCTCTGTGGGGAATCAGCAGCATCCTACTGTCCCAGTCCAGGATTGGAGGCGTCCCTGAGAGGTCCCTGTCCCCAGCACAGGCACTGCCCAGCCGGAGGGCCAGGGTCGGGTTGCTGGGAACCAGTGGTTCCCAGGCCAGACCAGCAGGGGCTGGGCTAAGCGCGGATGGGGAAGACCTCCCTGGCAGCCGCGGGACACTCACTGCTGGACCTGGTGGCTGCAGTTGGAGCCCGTGTAGCTGATGATGAGCTGCAGCTTCTCACTGGCATACTCCACAAACTGGCGCTTAAAGGCCCGCTCCTTGGCCTTGGTGGTCCAGGTGAGACGCTCGTAGACATAGAGGAGGCCGTACAGCCCGAAGGACAGCGCGATGAGCCGCCAGCCCACCGCCTTCCACACCTGCAGAGGGACGCGGTCAGCATGGCCAAATCTCTCTCGGGACCAGCCCTGTGCTCCTGGGACCTGCTGTTGCCAGGGCCATTCCAAGAGCCCTAGCCAGGGAGCCTGTCCCCTCGGATCCCACCAAGGCCAAGAGGCAGCTGGAAACGAGGGGAACTTGGTGTTGGCTCTGTGATTCACACCATGTGTGGGATGAAGACCAGGGCCCAGGATGAGGTATGAGGTATGGGGCCTGTGAGAAACAGGAAGTGTCTTTCTGGTTGAGCAAAGCTTCAATGGGTCAACAGCTCCTGTGAACGGCCCAGGCCACATGGCTGTCCATGACAGGTCCTACCTCCCAGCTTTCAGGGATTGGTAGGCCAGCATGGGGACCACCCCAGCACTGAGCTCACCCACCCCCCACCCCGTCAGCCCAAGCAGGCCTTGCTACTGACCACGCCTCCAACAACCAAGATTCCCATGGAGGTCCTTGATGTCAGGGAGGCCAGGCCTGTAACCATGGAGACCATGAGCTCCTCCTGGGTGAGCGAGCCCTGTGGCAGCGGGGGCATGTTGGGGTTAGCTGGTGTCAGAGGCACAGGGCGCTGGACCTGCAGAGAGAGTGACAGCAGAGGTGAGAAGAACGCAGCAAGTCCCATTCCAGTAAATCCTCATCAACCCCCAAGGCTAGGGGAGCCAGGACAGGGACACTGACCAGCTCTTCCTTTTCCAACAGGCAAGGAAGGAAAACGAGCCCTGCCTGCCACAGATGGGACCAAGCTTCCACTACAGAGCTTCACAGGCAGGCATGGGAGCAGTGGGCCTGTCAACGCACTTAAGCATGGTACCCACACCATGACACCAAAGTTCCAGCCCAGAAGTGGGTCCACCCGGGTCAGGAGTCTTGCTTGCCTGGTCATTGTAGCCCATCAAGGCCCGGCGGCTGTTCTTGGGGCCTAGGAACCTGTTCACCAGCATGGTCCATCCAAGTGAAAAATGGAACTCAATGTCCTCCTGAAAGTCGGCACACAGCTTGTCACAGTTGAGGTCGTAGCTGAGGGAGAAGCACTGGCGAGGGACCAGCATGTCTATCTGGCTCCGCATGGACACCGGAAGGAGGGGTTTCAAGCCATCTGCCAGGGCGCAAACAGGGCGAGCCTGTCAGCGTAGCCATGCCACACCTGCACCAAGGCCCAGGACACAGGGCATGTGAACGGTGCCCAGGACAAAGTGGCATACACTGAAACCACACCCCAGGTAAGCTTTGATTTTAGTGCAAAATCTTTCTGAACTCCATGCAGTTTTTTTGTAATCCACATTTCCCATGAGCTTTGTAACGCCTATTGTTTGCAGATTTCTAAACATTTTATGCCAAAATTAATCTCTCTCTTCATTCCATTTTCCACAATTATTTTTCAAAGCACTCCCATACAGAACAAATTCGCAGGAGCCAGTATTGTGGGGCTGTGGACTGGGCCACCATCTGCAATGCCTCATCTCATACCAATGCCAGTTCAAGCCTCGGCTGCTCCACTTTTGAGCTAGGATGCTGTTGTTGTGCCTGGGGTAAAGCACTGGACAATGATTCAAGTGCTTGGGCCATTACCCACATGGGAGAGCAGGATAGAATTCCTGGCTCCTGGTTTTAACCTGGTCATTGCAGCCATCAGGGGAGTAAACCAGCAGATCAACTCGCCAGGATCCCATATGGTCACTGGTTTGTATCCGGCAGCCCTGCTTCCCACCCAGATCCCTGCTTGTGGCCTGGGAAAGCAGTTGAGGTTGACCCAAAGCCTTGAGACCCTGCACCCATGTGGGAGACCCAGAAGAAGCTCCTGGCTCCTGACTTTAGATCGGCGCAGCTCCGGCCATTGAGGTCACTTGGGGAGTGAATCATCAGACGGAAGGTCTCCATCTCTGTCTCTCCTCCTCTCTATATATCTGCCTTTGCAATAAAAATAAACCTTAAAAAAAAATAAAATAAATGGGGAAAGTGAGAAAGGCTGGGGGCGGGGAGGAATGCAGATTGCCTGGGGAAGGGGGTCTGGTGACATATTTGAGTGGAAGCAACTAAAGGCATGTTTGACAGGGAGGAATGATGTCTGGGTCTTCCAAGGACCTGGCCACAGCACTCACAGGTAGGCAAGGGAGCTGAAATGGAGTAGTTCAGAGGGAAAACTGGAGGGCATGTCTGGGTCAGGCCAAGGCACCCACCCATGTGGGAAATCTGGGCTGGGATAAATAAATAGCACTGTCTGCCGCCCACTGGCACTCACCAAAGCTGGGACTGGTGGCCATGCCTGGCTGGGACAGGCCACAGTACGCAATTTTCAGAGCAGGGGGTGGGCCACATCAGACTAGGCCATAGCTTGAATGTGACAGAACCAGATCTGGGGGCAGATTCTGTAAGGAAATTGTGGGCTTGCCTCTGTGGGATAGCAGTACCCACAGGTTTGCATGGAAAGCTGAAGTGGTGATGGGCCGAGTCAGGCTGGACTATGGAACTCATATGACACTCACGGAAGTGGGGCTAGAAGGTGGCTGAGCTGGACCAGGCTGCAGCACTGAGGGTAGACCATGCCAAGCAGGGCTGCACCTGCCAGCACACGTGAGACACAGGCCTAGAAGTGAGCCTGTTAGGACTTGGGAAACTCCCTGGCTAGGCTACAGGTCCTGTTGGGGAGCACAAGAGCCGTGGCTGGGGTAGGCCAAGCCAGGCAAGCCTACAGCATTCATCGGCATTTGTGTGGGTTGGGCAGGGCAGACTGGGCTAGGACACTGGCATGCATGAGTCAGGACAAGGCGTGGGCCATACCAGGCTGGGCTAGGCTATAACACCTGCCAGCAAGAGTTGAGACCCTGGGTGAGCCATGCCAGGTTAGGCTGAAGCACCTGCCACCACGTACAAATTCAGGGGTTAGAAACAGGCCTGGTAGGGAAACTCTGAGAACCCTTTGCCAGGATGTAGTTCCCACTGATGAGTGTGAGAGCCAGAGTTTAGGGTAGATAAGTCTGGGCAAGGCTGAAGCACCCACTGGTGCTTGTGAGAGCCAGAAAGGATGCGGGGCAGTTTGGCTAGGTCACACTACCCACAGGTGTGTGCCAGGACTGGGGGCAGGCCATGTCAGGCTAGGCCACAGTACCTGCTGGCAAGCCCAAGACCTAGGACTGGGAGCAGGCCTGGTAGAACTTGGGGAACGTCCTTGCTGGGCTTCTGCATCCTCTGATTAGCATGAGAGACTAGGAGGAGGACAGGCTGGGCTAGACCACAGTACCAGCTGACAAGCACTGGGATTGGATGTGAGTTATATCAGGTTGGACTATAGTATCCTCTAAGAGACACAAAATCTGGGGCTGAGAACATGCCTGGTAGGGGAACTGTGGGCACTCCCCTGCTGGGCTGCAGTGCCCACTGGTGATCATGAGAGCCAGGGTTGGGGCGGCCCAGCTGGTCAAGGTAGCAGCACCATTTGGCATATATCTAGGCTGGGTCTGGAAGGTGGGTTGGGCTGGGCTAAGCTGCAGCACCCATGGACATGCATCAAAGGCAGATGGGATGCAGAACAGACCAGGCTAGCCAACAGCACATTGGGGGCCCAGTGGAGTGGCCTAGCGGCTAAAGTCCTCGCCTTGAACACGCCAGGATCCCATATGGACTCCGGTTCTAATCCCGGCAGCTCCACTTCCCATCCAGCTCCCTGCTTGTGCCCTGGGAAGGCAGTTGAGGATGGCCCAGGGCTTTGGGACCCAGCACCCACGTGGGAGACCTGGAGGAAGTTCCTGGCTCCTGGCTTTGGATCAGTACAGCACCGGCCATTGTGGTCACTCAGGGAGTGAATCATCAGACGGAAGACCTTTATCTCTGTCTCTCCTCCTCTCTGTATATCTGCCTTTGTAAAAAATAAATAAATCTTTAAAAACAAACAAACAAACAAACAGCACATTGGAAAGCCAGGGCTGGGGGCAGGCTTGATGGGAGTTACTGGAGGTCATCCCAGCTAAGCCGCAGCACCCATCAGTTCATGTGAGAGATGGGCCTAGGATGAAACTGATCAGGCAGCTGTGTCCACCAGTATATGTGTTCGCCCATGCAGGTGATGGACTAACCTCCATCTTCCATACCTCAAGTCTTCCCACCCTAATCAGAGACCCACATGAGTATGCATCCCTCTCAACTATGTAAACAATATTAAAAGTTAAATTATTTATAAAACTGATGTCACATAAGAAAAGTTATTATTGGGGCTGGCACTGTGGCATGACAGGTACCATTGCAGCCTGCGGCACCAACATCCCATAGGGACGCCAGACTGAGTCTCAAAGGCTCCACTTTCAACCCAGCCCCCTGATAATGCCCCTGGGAAAGCAGCAGAGGACGGCCCAGGTGCTTGGGCCCCGACACCCACGTGGAGATCCATAAGAAAACTCTTGGCTTCTGGCTTTGACCACAGTAGCCATAAACCAATGGATAAACGATTTCTCTCCCCCCTCTGTCATCCTAACTCTGCCTTTCACATAAATAAATAAATCTTAGCAAAAGATTTCCATCATTTCAGCAGAATGGTCTCCAAACCTGACCTCTGGGCATTCCCAGAGCGCCAGGCCCCCAGAGCTCGGCAGTACTAACCTATCATGTCCTGCTGCATGGTCTGCAGGGAGTTGGTGATGGCCGTGGAGCAGCGGTCAGACATATTTCGGCCCAGGCCTTCCTCTATATGGCGATGAAGCTCCTGAAAGCAGAAGGAGGAGACTAACAAAAACAGCACCCCCAACCTGGGGAGGGTATGCTATCCACACCATCAGGTGACTGCAGAAGGCTGGGGAGTGCCAGTCTTGTCTCCTTGACTTCTATTTCTGCTGCCATCTGCATGGTGATACCACCCAACAGCCAAGGAAAATCAAAAGTTGGAGGGGGTGGGAGACCCTGTCTGGCACACCTAGAGCCTTGGGACTCACATTCTTATAAACCTTGAGGACCACTGGAGAAGGGTGGAAATCCATCTGGTACTCGTCCACCAGCACCGACAAGCGCCTGATCTCCTCGGCCATTGCCGTGGACACCTGCAGCAGGACAAGGGTGCTATAAATGAGAGAGTTAGAGCGGGGCACCACGCTGCCACACCAAGAGATCCCAGCAGACTCCAGCCTTCCCCAGCAGCCAGTAGCTTCCTCAGCTGATCAAGTGCCCATCTGAGAAGTGGGACGGACAAGAGGCCCACAGGAGTCAGGGGAGCCTAGGATGACACAGGAGAACCATGGAACCCGTGGGGAAGTTTCATGGCTCTGAATCAAAGCCACAACTTCCTTCTGGAAAGCGGAGAAAGCCTCAGAGATGAAGATGTATGAAATGACATTTTCCCAGCACCTCTACAAAGCACTTTCCCCTCGTGTCTCACCTGCCTTTCCACCTCCTCGGTAATTTGCTTGATTCTCAGTCGGTAGTCCTGAGCCAGGAGCTCCAACTGCTTGTCAATAAATCTCAGTCGGTCTTGCCGTTCTTCACGCATTTCCAGGCAGTACACCCTGCAAAGGGAGAGGGATGCTTAGAGCCTGCCTTCCCACTTGAGGAAGTAAAGAAGCAAGTGGGGTTCGGAGTCCCCTCCTACTCTCCTTACTGAGCAGGATTTTACCTAGCCATCCAGGGGCACAGTCTCCCCCTTCCCAAACAGGACACCACAGCAAACCACTGGACTTTCCAATCTTCCACGTGGAAGAAAAGGCAACAGGACAGAGCAGGAAAGTGCTTATGGGAGTTTAGAGCAAGTTCTGCCAATACATAGAGGAAAACAACACTCAGCCACACTAATGCTCACGGAAACGATCAAAAGAAGCCTGGCAAGAACAAGCAAGTCTGAAGCTCTGGGAAGAGCCAAGGAGACACGACGAGTTCATGCAAATAGCACTGGTGAGGAGATAAACACTACAGCTGTTCTGGACAGCAACAAAGTAAGACTACAAAGGCAGGTACTACACAACAGGACAACTGGGAAGAGCCTGATGAAGAGACCCAAGTGGACACACAAGCTGATGCCTGCTGCAGTGGGGTTTTTGAAGGCAGAGAGATCAGAGCAAAATGTCCCACCCTCATCTACATACATCTACACAGAACACCTGTAAAAATCAAAGTGAGCAATAAACATGCCACTTAGGGTAGCCGTTCACCTGTGTCTATCTTGTTGGGAACCTGAGACTTACTAATATGCACAAACTCAAACCCAAGAAATCTGGCAAACAACCAAGACCCAGAGAAGCAGTGTTGACAGGAAGGCAGAGCCTGGGGCAGCGGCCTGGACCATAAAAGCACTTGAGCCTGGGGCAGCTGTTCCTTAGGACCTCCAGGCCAAGGGCCCTCCAAGGCCACAGGCTCACCTTGCCCTCAGAAACCATGACTCAAGAACTGTGACAGTGCTGACACTGCAGATGAGGCAACCTGTTATTCTTACTGTTTTTATTTAATTTGTACTTTAACTTAAGTCAGAGTCCAGTTGGTTAATCTTAGTGAATGACAACTTGGCATGATGCAGGAAAGCCCCGTTTAAAAGAACTGCCTACGACTTGACCCACTGTGAGCTATCTTCTTTTCCTGTAACTGAACTGCAGTAAGAGACATGTTTGTTCACAAAAAAAAAAAAAAAAAAAAAAAAGGAGGGGGAGAGATGTGGCCTGGCATTGTGGCACCACAGGTTAAGCCACTGCTTGTGACACCAGCATCCCACATGAATGCAGATCAAGTCCCAACTGCTCTGCTTCCCATCTAGCTCTCTAAGGCACCAGGGAAAACAACAGAAGACGGTTCAAGTACATAGAGTCCATGGCACACTAGTGGGAGACCCGGATGGAGTTCCAGGCCCAGGGATTCAACCTGGTCCAGCGGTGGCCACAATAGGCATTTGGGGAGTGAACCAACAGATGGAAGACTCAATCTCTCAGTCTCTCCTTTCTGTCACACTTTCAAATTAAAATTTAAAAAAAAAAAAAACTTTTTCAGTGAGACAACTGCACACATTCCACCACGGTGCCCTGAGCAGTCAGTGACAGTGGGACATGGGCCAGAGTCAGGGATCCCACCCTTATTTGACTGTAAGTTAGCAGAAAGCAAGTCCTGGCATGTCTGTGTGGGTGAAGCAAGGCTCTTTACATCAGGCTCTGTTCTCTGCTCTTCTTACATTCCTCATGAGCGGCACCGGGTCCCAGGCTCTGGAAACAGCCATGGGCTCCAGGTGCAGACAAGCCTCCCACCCCAGGGGTTGCACTGCACACACCCAGGGGCATGACCAGGTACTAGTGGCCAGGGAAGGGCCTTGAGTGGAGCTTAGAGGCAGCTTTGCCTGCAGGGCACAGCCTGGCTGCCTGAGCCAGGACAAAGTGTGGCACTGCCCAGCAGCCCTGTCTGCCTGTGGCCTTGGGCTCTTACCGCTGCTCCTGAGCCGCGATGTGCAGAGAGTCCATGATGAGCCGCACGGCCTCCGCGATCTGCTTGGCCCGGACTGTGTGCTGTTCAAATTTGGTCTTCACTGCAGACTGAGAGATGCACTCCTGGAACAGGCAGAGACACTGAGGGAGGTGGGGGCCGCCAGGGCCAGCAGCCAAGGGCCAGGCTTGGGAGGTACACGGTCACCAGACACCAGAATCAAAGGACTCACCTCAAACCTCCTCTCAAAATTCTGAAACTCAAACATCCGCACCTGAAAGCCTTCGGCAAGAGCGCCCCCTAGGAGGAGAACACTGCATTGGTTGGGAGACAAATGGGCAGTGTAGACAGCACCTGCAAGCCCACCCCAGCAGGCACTCGGCTGGACACCAGCTGGACAGCAGAGCCTCACTCCAGGCTTTCCATGTCTCATCTTTAGAACAATTCTCAACTGACTGACTTGGCCTGAGTCCAAACATCTCACCCATTAGGGAAAGGAAGCAGTCTGTTCCCATGGTTACCTCCTTCGGGCATGCCCTGGGCCTTCTGGATCCTGGCATTGAGCACTTCCTTGGCAGACACAAAGAAGATGCGGTCCCCGGCCTGGGCCCGATCCACCACACCCAGCTCGTCCACCAGGAAGCCGGTGCAGCGCTCCATGTGCTGTCGCCGCACCTAGAACCCAAGCAGGTGGGTGTATGTGACCGGGGCAAACGCATGTGGATACCTCCTGAAGGAGCCCACAGCCTCCTTCTACGGCCTCTAAAACACAGTACAGTCACATGGCTTAAGATCTGAAAATGTCAGTGTGCACACAGTGAAAGGTGGACTCCCTTCTCTGCTCCCCAGCCACCGTGTCCCGGAACACAGCCTGCCATACTTCCAGGATATGCAAGCAGGAATCTAACCACAGGCCCCTACTACCTATCTGTGGGTTCCACGGGAAAGGAATCCATACATGGAGAAACCTGGGCTCTGCACCGACAAGCCACATCCTCCCCTACACATCTAGAACCCATCCTCAGCACCCCTATCTCACAGGTGAGGAGACAGCAAAACTAACAAAGACAGGGCTTGGTGCGATGCCACCACCATTCATTTGGGTGCCAGTTCGTGTCCGAGCTGTTCTACTTCCCACCCAGCTTCTTGCTAATGGCCTGGGAAGGCAGTAGAGAAGATGGCCCAAGTCCTTGGGCCCCTGCACCCTTGTGGGAGACCAGGATGAAGTTCCAAGATGCCGGCTTTGGATCAGTCCAGGCCCAACTACTGTGATCATTTACAGAGGGAACCAGAGGATGGAAGGTCGCTCTCTGTCTCTGTAACTCTGACATTTAAGTTAAAATAAATAAATCTGCTACCCTCTTTTCTTTCCCATGCTAGCTGTGAGCTGTCAGTGTGGACCACCTGTTTTTACTCTCCTTCCCTGGATGGAGCCCTGCAGATGGCTGAGCCAGGTCAGGACCGACGGACTCTTTATGAACCAAAATGAGTATCTGGCTCTAAACGCAGCCACAGCAGTGCAGCGCCTCCCAGAAAAGGAAGGGCTGTAGGGAGAAGCATTTGTAAAACTACCAGAGACCTTTGGCAAACACTTGAGAGACCTTTGGTAATGAAATTAACTCAGGGAACTCAAACATCTGATGCCTCCAGGGAGTACAGAGTCCCTGGGGGTGGGGCTCACGGGTAACAGACCCGATGGCACCTACCTCCTCCATGTACTCGGGCTCTGAGGCAGACGCATCCCAGCGGTTGTTAAGGATGAAGATATTTGGGCGGGAGAGTCGCTCACTCACCTTGTGGAAGAATTGCTTTTCCTAGACAAGGGGCAAGACCTTAGAGGACGAGCTGGGCCAGTCGAGGCCCCCTCAGCCATCCCCCAAGCCCTGGAAGGGAGAAGCAGCAGAGGAGTTACCGTCTGCATCAGAGTGGACTCTGAGTTGGCCACGAGCACAAACACATCTGCATCCAAGCAAAATTTGTCAATCCAGCTGTCCAGCTCGGTGGTGACATCAATGCCAGGGCTAAGGGCACAGAAACAAACCAACATGGTCAGGCAGAGAGCCCTGTGATCCTGCTGTGAACAGACCCGGTCCTGGGAGGCAGCCAAGCTGGAGAGGCAGAAGTCCCACCTGGCCCTCACTAGAGGAGACTGTCACTACCGTCTCACACCCCTGCAGAGAGCCTGGAGGTGTGCCTGCTGAGCACACCCTGTCAATTCTGTCAGAACGCAGACACTCGTTTTTCCTTTGGGGCTACAGGATTAAGGTGGCAATCCAGGTCAGTACTACGAGCCTGTATTTCTTGGTAGTTATCAGCTGTCACAAAGCAGGGACAAAACCTAACGTCAATTTGTCTACCAACCCCTGCCTGCAGTCACTACCCAGGATCCTGGGGCTGAGCCTGCAATGCTCCCCATTTCTGAGCACCTGCCCTCTCTCTCAAAGCCCATCTCTTGGACGTCTGAAGGGCCCTGCGGCCCCGGGTACCGCAAGCAGACCCTGGATGAAGCCCACGAGGCAGGAGGGCTCGGCTGTACCAACGGCAGGCAGTAATATTTAAGCAGCAAAGGAGCAGGGCTCAAGGCCTCTGGCCTGGCTCTTCCAGAAACAAAAACCCAGAGCCGTGGGCTGGGACCTCCCCGACAGGCCCCTCCTCTTACCTGTCCATCAGCACGAGGTCGTCCTTTAGCAGAGGGCACTTGGAGTTGGGCCACATCACGCTTACCAGGCTGCCAGCATGCAGCTGCTCGTCCTGATGGAGGGCGTGGGCCAGCTGGTTCACGGTCTGATGGTGGAGCAGGGAAGAAAGAGCTAAGCAAAAGTACCTGGCCATGAGGCTTGGCGTGCACCTGCCATGCAGCCCAGGGGCCTGAGATTGCTGCCAGCTGTGCACCACTCTTTCCTTCATTTTAAAGATAAAAAGCTAAAGCCTGGGAGCTGTTGACTAATACCAACTTTCCTCATTGCTCTTCATAGCTGCTTTCATGAACGTTGTACGAAAGCGAGTCTGCACCACATGATCAATTCCTTACAAACCAAAACCAGCATCCAGATTCACCTGGGCATGCAGCTGCCTCTCGGAAAAGCCCAGTGGGTTGGTCGGAATCACAGAGCAGAGACAGATGCACTTGCTGGCAACATTCAAGGGACAACAGGCACATGTTCCCGGGTGCAAAGAGCACCTACAGGGCCATAGGGCCTCGCTCCTGGAACTCCACATCCCCGATCCCCAAAGCTCTCTGGACATCTGCTCCCAAGCGGGCTCCATATTCCACCCAAAGAGGCACTGACACAGGGGACGCACGGGATGGCTTGAACACAGGCCCACACACTCCTGGGAGCTGATAGGACCCCTCACCTTCACGCTCTTCTTCTCCTCGGAGCCCTCAGTAAGGAGGAAGGCCTCATGGCCGTCTGTGCCCTCTACCCGCAGGAAGCAGTTGGTGGTGTGGCCGATCCCGGAGGGCAGAACTTTGTCCCACAACATGGCGTTGATCACCGTGCTCTTCCCATTGCTCGTCCTGCGAGGGGCCATGACTGAGTGGAGCATTCCACAAAAATGAGCAGATGCAAGAGCCAACACCCGCCCCGTAGGCCCACCAGAGCCAAGCCAGCCACAGCAGGCTCTGCTCCCTCATCTGGATGGCCAACCCCTGTAGGACAGGCCTGTGATGTACCCTCGTGTGTGAAGATCACTGTCCTACAGCACCAGGCTGGCACGTGCAGGTGAACCAGTCTGGAAAGGCCCCATCACCTCTCTGCCTCACTCGCTTGCAGGAACTGTCCGTATGGTCCACAGCCCCGGAGCCCCCTCATTGGTCCTCTACGGCCATCTGCCTCAGTGACCTCGGTAGAGGGACCCCTCACAGCCTGCTTTCTCCTCTGCTCCCAGGACAGCCCACCTACCTAAGTTGTTTCAGGCTAAGGGAGGCTTCCTTTAGCATTCGGGTCTAGCACACCCGTATCTACCCTCTGCCTCTCAAGCAGACCTCAGCTCTGCGACCTCGCCTGCTCGGGGCCTCAGAAATCTCTGCCTTCTTTCCCTCACGCTGCAGCTGCTCGGCGCATCCCTCTCGCCAGGTCTTCCCTGTGTCCCACAGACAGGCGGCCTGCTAGCTCACCCAATGGGAACCACAGCTCCCAGGGGAAGACCCAGACTCTAATTTTCTTATAGATGTCTCCTGGAAGGCCCGGCACAGTTGCCCAGTGTCTAAAGTCCTCGCCTTGCATGCACTGAGATCCCATATGGGTGCCAGTTCATGTCCCAGCTGCTTCACTTCTCTCTTCCAGTTCTTTGCTTGTGGCGTGGTAAAGCAGCAGAGGATGGTACAAAACCATGGGACCTGTACCTGCATGGGAGACCTGGAAGAAGCTCCTGGCTCCTAGCTCTGGCTCGGCTCAGCTCTGGCTAAAGCAGCCACTTGGGGAGTGAACCAGCAGATGGAAGATCGCTTTCTCTGTGTCTTCTTACCCCCATAAATCTGCCTTTCCAATATAAATAAACAAATAAATCGTTAAAAAAAAAATGTGTGTTGGGCCCGGCGCGGTGGCGCAGTGGCGCAAGTGTTAAGGTCCTCGCCTTGCACACCCGGGATCCCATATGGGCACCGGTTCTATCTCGGCAGCCCCGCTTCCCTTCCAGCTCCCTGCCTGTGGCCCAGGAAAGCAGTCGAGGACAGCCCAAGGCTTTGGGACCCTGTACCCGTGTGGGAGACCCGGAGAGGCTCCTGGCTTCGGATTGGCATAGCATCGACCGTTGCGCTCACTTGGGGAGTGAATCATCGGATGGAAGATCTTCCTCTCTGTCTCTCCTCTCTGTATATCTGCCTTTCCAATAAAAAATAAAATAAATAAATCTTTTTAAAAAAAAAACAAAACAAAAAATGTGTCTTCTAGACCTTAAAGTGTGAAAAAGAGGAGAGACGATGGCTAAAACCACATAACTCTTAAAAACAATAAAACACATGTGAAAAGCTTCATGACATTGGATTTGGCAATTATTACTTGGATATAATGCAAAAAGTACAGGCAAAAACATACAAACAGAATAAATTGGACTACATCAAAATGAAAGTACATCTGTGCACCAAAGAACAAGATCAACTCGGGGCCGATGGGCAGCACAACATCTAATCTGCCTGTCTTCTACCGGTGCCCATCTGGGTGCTGGCGGAGTCCCAGGGTTCCACTTCCAATCCCACTCCCTGCTTATGACCTGGGAAGGCAACAGAAGAGGCTCAAATCCTTAACCCCCGCACCCATGTAGGAGACCCAGAAAGAAGCTCCTGGGTCCTGATTTCAGATTAGCTCAGCTCCAGCCTTAGGGCCACCTGGGGAGTAAACTAGCAGATGGAAGACCTCTCTATCATTCCTTATCTCTCTGTAAAATCGGCCTTCCAAATAAAAACAAATTAATCTCTTTTTTTTTTCTGAAAAAGAACAAGATCACCAAAATGGGGGCAGTACTGTAGTGCAGCATGCTAAGTCACCACTTGTGATGTCAGTACTCCTTACGAGAAAACCAGACCAAGTCCCGGCTGCTCTACTTCTGACCCAGCTCCCTGCTAACGCTCCTGGGAAGGCAGCAGAAGACGGCCCAAGGGCCTGGGTGCCTGCCACCCATGTGGAAGATCACATGGAACTCCAGGCTCTTGAATTTAGCTCGGCCCAACCCTGGCTACTGTAGGCATTTGAGAAGAAGTCTGTTTCTCTCTCTCTCTCTCTGTCTTTCAAACAAAATAAATCTTTAAAAAGGAAAAAAAAATCTTACTCCCATAGGAAAAAAATAATCAAGAATAAAAAAAAATCAACCTACAGAATGACAGAAAAGATTTACAAATACCCAAAATATATTTTAAGGCGCTCTCAACAAACAACCCAATTCTAAAAACTGGCAAAGGACCTAAGCAGACACTTCTCCAAAGAAAACATCCAAACGGCCAGTCAGCACATGGCATAACTCATCATTAGGAAAACGCAACTCAGAGCCACGATGATGTGCCATCTCACTCTTATTCATGTGGCCATCATTAAGAGGAAATGGCAAACATTAAGGCAGGCAGGTTCCAGAGACACAGATGGGAATGGTGTCACGCCTACCATTTGGAGCAACATCCAGTGCTCCCTCAAAACATCAAAGGCAGCACCGCAGCAGGCCCCAGCAGTCCACTGCAGGGCACACCCTCAGGCACCGGACTCAGGACCCAGGCAGAGCTGCGCACAGCTGCATCCCTGGGAGAGTGACCAAGCAGCACATGGTCATCCATACAGTGGAACACAGGGTAACCTCAGAAAGGAGGCAGCCCCGACACACGGAGGAGCGTGTAGAAGACACTGTCCTGAGCCAGTCAGCGAGTTGTGAAAACAAACACTGCACTTATACTCACATGAGGTTCCCAGGAAAGCCAAATTCTGAGACCTAGCACCCAGTGTGGCTGCCAGGGCCAGGGCCTGGGAGTTGGTTTTGTGTAAGGACAGATTTCCAGTCGTGCAAGGTGCACATACTCTGGAGCCTGGCCGCACACAGTGCAGGCACCCCTCACCTTCAACTACACACCTAACACAATTAGGGTGCAAGGTTCTACCTTGTGTGTTTACCCACAATTAAAACACACAGAAAAAGGCCAGCGAGGCACTGAGTCACGCCAGCAGCGCCCTGCCCCGGGTTGCTCTGACTGCATCCTGCACACAAGGCATGCCTTCCGCCAGCCAGAAAGAAGGAAGATTCAAAGGCTTCAAGACTCACCGGCCAAAAAAAGCCACTTTCATGTGCCGCCGGGCCAACACCTCACTGATGCCCCGCACTTTAGACAGGTAACCTTTGACATCCAGAACCTGTTCTTCCGTTGTAACCGGGTCCAGCTCCGCATTCCTGTAGGTATCTGGATGGGATTGAAGTCAGATTAAAGTAAGGCAGGCCGAAGTTGTGGCCTTGCTCACCGCCATCACCCATCCACCTGCATGGCCCCCTGCCATAGCCTGAGGACACTGCCACTGGGGAACCAGCCTGGGAACAGGGTGGCTGGCTCCAGGCTGGTTCTACCACTTCCCGACCCTGTGAACCCTTGTGGGTCTTGGTTTTCTTACCATAAAATGGAAATAATAAGAGATTCTACTTTGTGTGACTACTGCGAGAGCAAATGAAATGAAACCACCATATGCTATGGAAGCCTGCTGAATGGAAAGTGCCATCCATTCTATATGAATACTTACAGAAATTCTCTCCACAGGCCAGGCCAAGTACCGGTCACTTTGAGATTCGGTCTCATTTGATCCCAGCTACTCACACAGCTATCAGAAAATCAAAGGGCTGCTATGCAGCCTATGCCAGAGTACAGGTTCTCAACCATGCCAACCCTGTGCTTTGCGAGGGCCTTCCTGACCAACCTGGCCCCACTGGCCCTTCTCCACCTCCCCATATCCGCACGCTCATCAGCCCCCACCCCGTCCCGCCCTCAATGGTACCCAGACCCTCTTCCACATCCCCTGGAGGACTCACGCACTACCCTGGACCAGAGTAGCTTTTTCTATGCCCTTCCTCACCAAACCCACTCATTCTAAGTCCCTCATTGGCACATCCACAGCACCCTGCACTTCTGTCTTAGCATCAAGCCTAACAGCCTAACCATCTAGTCCCGGAGGTGCTATATCACCTGTCAGTTCCCAGCACTTAGGTTTGTGCAAACACTGGCTAAGTGAATAATGGATTTCTCCCAGTGCCTTCATGGGCAGAAGGCTAACAAATTATCACAGACAGCAGTACCAAAGCAACATCCTGCCCGCGACCCTGGAACACTGGCTCCCAGCAGGTGCTGCAGCTAACTGGGGAGTGCACAGGGGTCCAGTCCCTTAGGATGCTCCTATCACGCTGGAGGCCGACAGGCCCCAGCCCTGAGAACTTTCTCAAATCAGTGACATGCCACAGATGGCCGGCAGGTTGCCCCAGAAGCCAGGGACATGAAAAGAAGTGTCCAGGGCCAGGCACTATAACTTAGCAGCTAAAGTCCTCGCCTTGCACACGCCAGGATTCCATATGGGCGCGTTTGTATCCCGGCAGCCCTGCTTCCAATCTAGTTCCCTGCCTGTGGCCTGGGAAAGCAGTCAAGGATGGCCCAAAGCCTTGGGACCCTGCACCCACGTGGCAGACCTGGAAGAAGCTCCAGGCTCCTGGCTTTGGATCAGCTCAGCTCCAGCCATTGCAGCCACTAAGGAAACCAATCAGCGGGCAGATGATCTTCCTCTCTGTCTCTCCTTCTCTCTGTGCATCTGACTTTCCAATAAAAATAAATACATCTTAAAAAAAAAAAAAGAAGGGCCCAGCAGCGTGGCCTAGCGGCTAAAGTCCTCGCCTTGAACACGTCGGGATCCCATATGGGCACCGGTTCTAACCCCGGCAGCTCCACTTCCCATCCATCTCCCTGCTGCTGGCCTGGGAAGGCAGTCAAGGACGGCCCAAAGCTTTTGGGACCAGCACCCGTGTAGGATACCCGGAAGAAGTTCCTGGATCCTGGCTTCGGATCGGCACAGCATCGGCCATTGCGCTCACTTGGGGAGTGAATCATCGGATGGAAGATCTTCCTCTCTGTCTCTCCTCCTCTCTGTATATCTGACTTTGTAATGAAAAATAAATAAATTTTTTTTTAAAAAAAGTGTCCAAGCCAACCAGTCACGCAGGCTTAGACCCATCCTGATCCCTCCCTCATCTGGCCAAAGGCTACAGCCTAGGGAAGAGTCCTTGGAAGAAGCCTGTGGCTGTGCTGAAAAGCAAGAAGGAGCCAGCTGAGCCGCAGCTCTTGGTCCCAGCCCTGGGAGGCCCACCCTAACCCTAAGTACAGCTTAGGTCGCTCCAGGTCTCTCCCATCTGTGGAACCAGCTGAGGCTGTCTCACATTTTCATAGGAAAGGAAAGCAAAGCAGCGTCTCATCAACCAATGCCTGAAGTGTGTCTCTGTGCACAGCAGTGTCTGCGCAGGTGACCTGGACCCAGAGCAGGTGACAGCCTCATCTGTGCATGCCCACACCTGGGCGGGGAGTGAGCTGCAGTCACTTCAACAACTTCAAAAGGAGCCTTTGGAGCAGCCAGGCATACAGAGTTGAGAAGCCCACATGCTGGGTGGGTGACAGCAGGTGGCCAGCCAAGCTAGGGGCTGACAAGAACCCGAAAACCCCAGCTCCCTGAGCTGCTCTGCCACGGGGGAAACCAGGGGGCAGAGGAGCCTCGGCTCCTCCCAGACCCACCCAGGACCTTGCAGCCAAGCTGTCCTCCTCGGGGGGAGGGGGAGCCAGGGCTTTGAGCTCACAGCACACAAGTGGAGGCTCAGGACCCAGTCCTTCCAGCTGATACAGCAAGGACAAGAGTTTGGGCTTAAATTAGTGACCAGTACAGAAAGCAAAGGTGATGTGTTGCCTATTTATAGCCCTGTGGCCAATCTAAAAATAGCAAGAGAGGCATCCTGGTCAGATAACCAACATCTGAATAGTGCCTGGGATAAAAGGCGGCCAGAAGCAGGCCAAGAAAAGCCATGGACATGGCACAGGAGCCTTCACTTGGGTTGGGCGGAGTTCAGTCACTCGCAAGGCACCCAGTAACTCTCAACCGCACACCCAGTACAAGATTCACCTACTCCTTGTGATCCAGGATACCAAAACGCATGGGACTCTTCCTGAATTGTCAAGGGTAGTCCTGTGTGCCAGGCCCAGCCTTCCCAAGCCCAGCTCCACAAGATCTCAGGAGCAGAGCACCCCTGGCAGTGCCAGCCTCTTTGACCATAAGTTCCCTGCGAGCAGGGCTGCACCACCCCAGCCTCAATCCCATCACACAAACACCTTGGTCCAGCTGAGCAGAGCCACAGCTCACCTTCCAGAAAGGTGGCACTCTCCTGGATGTAGGCTCCTAGCTGCTCGAAGATGCCATTGATCTTCTTCTTGGCAGTGACAAAGTGCTTGAGTGGGGACGCATTCACCTCAGCCATGTGTCTCTTGTCCTTCTTGACTGTGATGATGGAGTTGCATCGAGGGAAGAGTAGGGACATGGCGCTGCAAGAGAAGACAGCCTGAGTGAGCCCAGGAAACTGGCTTGGGTTGACCAGCTGGGCGAGGCAAGTGTGATGGGAAAACTGGGACCAGCTCAGGGGCCCCCAGGACTAGAAGAAGGGGCAGTAAGACAGTAAGAGGCAGCGACTCGAGGGTCTGGACACTTGGCCAGCCCCCCGGCACACGGATGCCCAGAATCAGGAACCTGAGCTTAGGCCTAGGCCAGGGCCTTCCCTGTCTGAGCAGTAACCAGCACCTCAAAGAGCAACAAAGAGGAGTAGCCAAACTGAGGCATTCCTCTGAATCTCTGGCAGAAAAGTGTGACAGAAATCTGACTTTTCTTTCTTTTTTTTTTAAAGGTTTATTTTTTATTGGAAAGTCAGATATACCAAGAGGAGGAGAGACAGAAAGAAAGATTCTGTCCAATGATTCACTTCTCAGATGACCACAACGGCCAGAGATAAGACAATCTGAAGCCAGGAGTCAGGAACCTCTTGTGGGTCTGCCCCGCAAATGCAGGGTCTCAAGGCCTTGGGCTGTCCTTGATTGTTTTCCCAGGCCACAAGCAGGGAGCTGTATGGGAAGTGGGGTCGCTGAGATTAGAACCAGTGCCCATATGAAATCCTGGCGCATGCAAGGCGAGGACTTTAATAACTAAGCTATCGCACCAGGCCCAGAAATCTAACTTTTCATTAAAAAAATAAAAATTAAAGCAAAGAAAGACAGAGAGAAAGAGTATTTGCTGGTTCAGTCCCCAAATGGGCACCTAGGGTTGCACCAGTCCGAACCCAGGAGGGAGGAACCCCATCCAGACTTCCCACATGGGTAGCAGGAGCCGAAGGACTTAGGCCACCCCCTGCTGGTTCCTCAGGCACATCAGCAGGGAGCTGGATGGGAAGCAGCAGCCTAGACTTCAACAGGCACCACAATGTGGAAAAGTGGCTTAACCCTGAGCCGCAACACCGGCCTCTGCCTTATCTGCTGAACATCACCCACATGACAGCCAAGAGATGGTGGAGGTCAGCGTGTCCCCCCTTTCCTGGCCACTCTGCTGTAATTCCTGTCGGGGGTGCCTTTGTTGTGGTGGGGAAGAGAACAAGCAAAGCTAATCCTCCAATGAGAGGTGACTTCCACAACTCATTTTAAAACATCTATTGGGCTCGGGTGTAACATGAGAACACCCCAAAAGGTTGGTAGAAAACACATCTCACGACAAACTTTCCATGGATTTCCATTATTTTATCTTTTCATTCCACTGTCCTTCAGCTTCTCAGGTGCCCTTGTGCATGTCCCCACCGAAAGTGAACAGGAGCAGCACCACTGCTCCTCTCACTCCCCATCCCTGCCTCGCTGCTGTCCTCCCACACAGCCACACCAGCCCAGGGCTCAGAGACCTAACTCCAAGGTCCTAAAGATCCCTGGTCGAAGGCAGAGAGGCAGACAGGACAGAGCAGGAAGCACCCTCGTGGGACTGGGACTCTCAGACCCCAACAGGCAAGCTGTATTGCATATCCCACTAGGGGAAAAGCAACTTCCACAGCAGAGATCCTGACCCCGGCCAGTCAAAGGGGCCCAGGATTAGGGGTACAGTGTCCCACCATCCCCGCACCCGCATACTGCAAGCTGGGAAGAGAGGCACTGCCCAAGAGGACTCAAGGAAGCTGCTGAATGGCACCAAAGCGTGTTGAACAAAGTCCTGAAAAGCAGAAAGAAGTAAAAAACTGCAGAGACTGAGTGCCAAAGCTGACCATCCCAAAGAGTGGACACACAGTCCCAGAGCCCCACAGGAAACAGGAGGCTGCAAGCATAGCCCAAATCTGCACCATGTTTTGCAATGTTAACGGTTACTCAAAGATGGGAGGACATGGCCCCACTTCCACCTTCCTCCTTGGTGTAAGGCCCCAACCCTGAAAAATGCTTCCCAAGTAGGGAGCCCTCAGGCCTGGGCCTGGGAAGACACTAGTGCTCAGGAAAGGGATCAGGACATAATACTCTGGCTCCTTCCAGCAGGAAAGGAGGGTGTACGGAAATTCGGCTCACTGCGGCCCAGCGAGCGAGACTCAGAGCAGGCAGAAGAAAGAAAGTTACTCCAAGCAGAAAGCAAGGCCTGGGCTGCAGGCAGAGACGGCAGCAAGCTCCACATCCTCTTTCTGGGCTGTGTGAACGTCAGTAGGTTATTTCCCCCCATTACCCGGGTCCCCACATGTATACAATAGGTAAGACAGCAACACAAAGAGGAAGCCGCCAGGAGATGATGCAAGCAACGTGCTCGGCACTTGACACTTGATCAGAGCCCAAAGGTGGCTTCACATGACCTACAACAACAGTCATGAACGCTAGGAGCAAGATCACATGATGCTGCCCCCAGCTGGCCAGCCTTAGGGGAAGGGCGGGGCAGTGGCACCCACAGCTCCCCGACTGGCACCTGTGAGCCAAGGAAGGGCCAGCAGCAGCCACCCCTAAAGCAGACCTGCTTGCAGGACACAAATTCCCTGGTTTCAGCTGGGCTTACTGAAGGAGGCGCTCTGAAGGTTGCAAGCCCCAAGGATATGAGGGCAAAAGAGTATTCAGTAACTGCAAGATTCAAAGGCAGGCACACTGGGAAAAGCCTGGTAGTTCAAGGTTACGAGGTCCGCCAGGAGCTTAGCTGGTGTCGGAGCTGCCCTGGTTCTCACCAATTCCCGGCCTGCAGCAGCAGCTTCGAGGGGCTGGCATGAAACCTCCCGCTCACTCCTCCAAACCACTGACGGCTCTGGTACTTGTTCCCAGGCTGAGGTTCTGCATTTGTTACACCTGCTGCTTTCTGGCTCAAATTGTTCAGTCCTTTATCACCCATTTGGGGTACTCCTGCTGTCCTTCCAGATCCAAACCAAGGGTCACCCTCCCTGCGTGACCCCGAGCAGCAGGCAGGCAACCTTACTCTTGATCACATCCCCTGTCCCCAGAAAGACTCACGCAGAGCACTGACACCTGTCTGCCCCTACTTTAGTCCTCCTGCGCCAAGAGACACCCAAGGCAAGGGAACAGCCCTTGGGGGTTATCATCTTACACCTTCTCTCTCGCGGAATACACAAATCGTTTTTTGCTTAAAAAGCAGCTTTGGCGAAGTGTCTCTTCATTTGTGGAGCTCAATCAAGAGAGTTCAACAAGCTTAACCCTTCCAACAAGCAAACTGGACACACACATGCAAAAAAAAAAAGACCAAAGTCACAAAACGCACGCAGGAAAGCCAAGCCAGGGCCCCACTATCTCGGGGCTCGGCCGGTCAGCCAGCCCCTCACCCTTTTGGAGTGACAGGAGGCAGCTGGGCTCCAGTTCCTTCCCTGGAAAGCCCTGATAAATCCTCCTTGACCACAGGGCTTGCTGCAGGCCTGTGCAGCCCGTCCTGCAAGCACAGGGAGCCAGGGAGCCCAAGTCCAAGGCCGAGTGCGCACTCAGCAGCCCATGCCAGACTGCCTGCAGCTGCTCTCAAGATCACGGTTTCAGCATCTACAGCATGCAGCACTCACCAGGGCGTGAGCCATGAGCCCCAGCTGGACCCAAACTGCATGCAGAATGGGCTCAACTCATGGGACACCATCTGCAATCTTGCCCCTCCATGGGAGAAGCAAAGGCCCCGGGGAGGAAGTGCAGTCATGCAGACACTGTACCGAGTGTGGAGTTCCACAAGCACACTCAGTGAAGACACTGGTCCCTACAACAGGCTTTACGATTCTGAGGGCCACGCTTCAGGGAGGGTCCCTTCACACCGGGAGCGCCCCTAGCCCACCCAGAAAGTGCCAGCGGCATGATATTAACAGGGATTAACCACAAACAAAACAAACGCACAGTGGCAGGTGTGGGACTGCAAGCTTTGCTTCGGCACGGGCCGTTAGTTGATGAGTGTTAGGTGTCTAGGGTGCAGGGACAGCAGCTCCAAAAGTCACTGTGAGGTGCGCCTGGCTCCAGTCCACAAGTCCTCCTTACCCAGTTTTATGCACAGCAGCTCCTAGCAGGGCAAACAAAATGGATCCGCGGATCGTCTGCTGGCAAGACTGGAACAGAGGAGACGCTGAAAAGTTGGAACAAAAGAGCCCACAGGGCAGAGGAGGCAGACTCTCAGAGAGCTGCGATAAGAAGCCAACATCCACTGGGCAGAGCAGGGGAGGACACCCAGACAACAGAGAGAGAGCACACGAGGGAGACAGAGACTAACTCCTTCCAGGGAGCCCAGGAGACGCCAGCACTCTGTCAGCCTTAAAATGAGCAGCCAGGGAGCCCCGAGGAGGTGGGGCGGAGACACCAGGCAGAAAGCGCCAGCTCCACCCACCCGGAGGAGCCCGCCCCTGCCCACTTACTTTGCGGATGGTGGCAGACCTTCACAGGGTGGGCATCACGGACATGGCTGCAGCCCACGCGATGGAAAGAACCCGAGAGCTCCTCTGTCCTGGCTCGGGCTGAGGCCGCCGAACGACTCCGCCAATCCTGCCTCACTGCAGAGGAAGACGAGGAAGAGAGCAGGCCGCCCTGGAGGGGTGCGCCAAAAACACACTCACAACCTAGAACCAAACCAACTCAGGCCCGAGGCAGGCTGACTCACTGAGGTGCCAGGAAGCTGGGCTGGCATGTGAGGAGGTACCCTGCAGGCAGAGACAACCCGGGAGGCGTGGGAGCCTTTGCTGGGTATGCACAAACATGTGGTCAGCCACGTGCTGGGCAGAGGCCCTGGGAGGACCCCACAAGGCTGGGACAGAGAGAGGTGAGGCTAGACAAGCAAGACCAAGCACTGGGCCGGAAGGCTGTGGAAGTGCCCACCAAGGGGAGGAAGGGCAATGGAGCCTCCTTCGATCTTGGCCGGGGCCAGCAGGGGCTTGGGATGCCCAGAAGACTTACAACAATTAGCCAAGCTGCAGGCATGGAGTGGGTTGAGTCACCAGCCCTCCCAAACTCAGGTGTTTTCAACAAGGGGCTGCTTCACCCTTCCCAGCCCTTGAAGCCCTTTTCTGGGAGGAGGGAGAAGCCACCAGAACGTCAAGAAAACAGGGCAGGGAAGGAGAATGGGTGAGTTGGGGTTTGGCCTTCGGGCACCCCAGCAGCTCTCTTTTTCCCCAGCATAGTCTGCGTGCCTCCTGTGGGTGTGGTAGTACTGGGGTAAAACACAGTCCCGGCCCTCGAGGGCCTGAGAGGCAAGGCGATCGCTGCCATCGCTGCCCCCGCTGCCCTCCGCCGCCCCGGCCGTGCCCACAGCGCAGCCAGCGCCCCAGGGGGAGGGCGGGCCGCTCCGGCGATGAACGCGGGCACCTGCCCCGACCAAGTGAGGTCTAGATGCAGACAGGAGCCTGGGCAGAAGCGGAATACGACCGTGAAGGTTGGGAAAGTGGGCGCCCTCCACAGTCTGAGCGGTCGCCAGCCTCTTCTCGAATCCCGAGTCCCGCCCCCTCCCCTCAGGGCCATAGAGGCCCTGGGGCGAAGACGGAGCGTGAGGATGCAGGTCTGATCGAATCCTGGATCCCGGGAGCCCCAGCGTCCCACTGGCCCACGCTAGGATGCTCAAAACTGTCCATGCCGAGCCAGGCCGGTCCCACCACCCCGACGTGCTCGCCCTCTCACCTTCTTCACCTTCCCAGCCTCGCGGCGGCCATCACACCCACACGTCACCAGGGAGCGCCACCCTCGGGGCAGGCGTGAGGAGGGAGGGCGAGGGGAAGGCGCGTGGCAGCAGCTGTCGAAGTGTCGACCTGGCCGGAGTGAGACCGGAGTGAGACTCAGACCTCAGCCGTTTCGACACTACTATTCCCACGCCTCAGGCGTTCCGCGGCTCTGAGTTTCCAGAAGCTTTTACAACGCGCTAGTTCACGCCGAAGCGTCCCCAGATGATGACGCCATCGTGTGGCTCTCGCTGGCTCCTGGGAGTAGTAGTTCTATCGGCTGCCAGCCACGCCTGCGAAGGGCGGGGCTGCAAACTGTCAAAGAGGGAAAAAAAAAAAAAATAGGACGTGGGTTAGAGGTTCCCGCTTTTTTGGTTTGTAACCCCAGAGCCTGATTCCACGGTATCTACGAGCTCCGGAATTCAGACTTGGGTTTTGTAACGTAAGGAAGCATGTGGAAGAGGACTAGGCCAAGTGACTCAGCCGGGGACACAGAGGCGAGCTTGGACTCACTGCCCTTTGAGGCCGGGGGAGCAGCAGCGCCTAGGGATGGCTCCTGCTCAGTGCTCAGAGGATCTCACCCTCCCAAGACTTTTGGGGGCTCGGGGCAGAGAGAGAGCCCCCCAAGCTCCCAGGTCAGCTCACTGGGCTCTCATTGTATGCCAGGCACCAGGAGACAGCAGCCAGCTGCCTCCTGCAGGCCAGGTAGGGCTCTCTGCACAGCCTCTAGAGTTGAACCCCACAGATGGACGCAGCTGCGGCCAAGTGGGCTGTGTTGTGAGATTCAGCGAGACTATAAACCATCTTGTTCATTGTTCATATATGGATGACATGTTGAAATGATGACAAATGGGGTTAAAGTAAATATATTATGTAAGTTAACTGCAAATGTGGCTGCGGGCATGGTGCAGTAGCCTAGCAGCTAAAGTCCTCACTTTGCACACCTGGGATCCCATATGCGCACCAGTTTGTGTCCTGGCAGCCCTGCTTCGCATCCAACTCCTTGCTTGTGGCCTGGGAAAGCAGTCGAGGACAGCCCAAAGCCTTGGGACCCTGTATCTGCATGGGAGATCTGGAAGAGGTTCCGGGCTCCTGGCTTCAGATTGGTGCAGCCAATTGTGGCCAATTGTGGCCAATGGCCATTGTGGTCATTTGTGGAGTGAATCATCAGACCGAAAAGTTCCTCTCTGTATATCTGCCTTTCCAATAAAGATAAAGATAAATGAATCTTTTTTTTTTTTTTTTTTTAGATGACAGAAGTGGTTGAGCTCTGCAGCTCCACTGAATGGCTCTACTCCAAAACCTCCGGAGCATCCAGCTCTGAGGAGCTGCCAGCAGGCAGCCCACTGGGGCTCCCAGGAGGTGAGTCAGAGCAGGCTTCACTGCCTGTGTCCCGCCTGTCAGGACTTTGGACTGCACCCAGCCCCTGTCCCGGGAGTGGCCAGGCTTGTGTCTGGGGTGTGGCAAGCACTGGTCAGTTCCTCACTGCCTTAGAAACACCTGCTCCTCTCCTTAGGGTGCTGTGGGTTCTCTGCCAGCAGGGTTTTGAAAGTGACTCCTTCAATCCGCCAGAAACGCAAGTGGGAGTTTAGTCTTCCTTGTGTGATTTCACGGGGGTGGAAACTTAGCATTCAGTTGTGGTGTTTTAGCCAGTAGGGTCTTCTGGAGGTAACTGGGGTCAGAGAAGTATGTGGATGAATGAATGACCCCCATGAAGGACTGCTGGCAGACTCTGTCCCTGAGAAGACCAACATCAGATGTGGCCCCTCAATCCTGGTTCAGAACCGCAAGCCCAGATAGACCCATTTGCCCTGTCATTTACCCAGTCAGTGGCCCTGTGTTACTACAGAAATCAGACTAACGGGCAGGACACTCCCATGCCCTTTGCTTTCTTGCTGAAGTCAGGGGGAAGCCTGGAGTTGCCCTCCTGTACACGTTGCCCCATGAGGCTCTGAGTTGAGTCCCAGGCTTCTGGGCCTTCTTCCCCAGCATCCAGTTTGAAATACAATCCCAAATCATGGGGACCTCACTTCCACTAGCTCCATGATTGGATTCACCCAGGATCCCTAATAGCAGGGCCTTCCCTATCCCATCCAGTCTTATTCTGATTGACTTTTTTCATGGTGTACATGAGTGGCATTTGTTATCAGAAAAGGAGGATCAGGTTAAAAACACACACACACACACATACACGACACCCACACATACCTACGTGCTTGTGTCCACCCAGAGCAGTTCAAGAATATCTAGAGACCAGGCCCAGGGCGAGGAATGACAAGTAATGATGTGTGCTGGTTAGATCAACCATGAGCCAATTTTTAAAAGCAAAGTAATAGAGGGAGAAGTGGGAAGGGTGGGAGAGAAAGAATATCTTCCATTTGCTGGTTCACTCCCCAAATGGCCATCAACAGCCAGGACTGGGCCAGGCCCAAGTCAGGAGCATGGAACTCCATCTGAGTCTTGCACATGACTCAGTGGCCCAGGCCCAAGAACTTGGACCAACATCCATTGCTTTCCCAGGCATATTAGCAAACAACTGGATTGAAAAAGAGAGCAGCCAGGACTCTAACCAGAGTTTGTACAGCATGCTTATACCAGGCAGCTTAACATGCTTTGCCACAGGGCTGAGCATGGTTGTTTAGTGGCTAAAGTCCTCGCTTTGCACACGCTGGGATCCCATACAGGCGCCAATTTGTATTCCGGCAGCCCCGATTCCCATCCAGCTCCCTGCTTGTGGTATGGGAAAGCAGTCAAGGACAGCCCAAAGCCTTGGGACCCTGCAACCACATGGGAGACCTGAAAGAAGCTCCAGGCTTCTGGTTTTGGATTGGCTCAGCTCCAGCCATTGCAGCCGTTTGGGGAGTGAATGAGTGAATGGAAGATCTTTCTCTCTGTCTCTCCTTCTGTATATTTCTGCTTTTCCAATTTAAAAAAAAAATGCTTTGCCACAATACTAGGCCCTAAATTTTTTTTTAAAGATTTATTTTTATTATTTTTTATTGGAAAGGCGGATATACAGAGAGGAGAGACAGAGAGGAAGATCTTTCTTCCAATGATTCACTTCCCAAGTGAGTGCAACAGCCGATGCTATGCCGATCCGAAGCCAGGAGCCTCTTCCGGGTCTCCCACGTGGGTGCAGGGTCCCAAAGCTTTGGGCCGTCCTCGACTGCTTTCCCGGGCCACAGGCAGGGAGCTGGATGGGAAGCGGGGCTGCCGGGATTAGAACCGGCGCCCATATGGGATCCCGGGCGTGCTAGGCGAGGACCTTAACCACATGCGCCACTGCGCCGGGCCCCTAGGCCCTAAATTTTTAAAACAAAACTTTAAAATCTTCAAAGCCCTTGGGTAGCTCTAGTTGATTCCCAAAGCCCAAACTCTTAATAGCCTGGTGCTATTATTTGAGTTGGAAATTTAACCCTGCCGAGCCATGCATTTGTGCTGGGAGAGCTTTGGGGGTCACAAGGAATGGAGAAGGTGCTGAAGGTGTCCCAGGTGGCAGAATCAGTGACTGTGTTAGAGGAGGCGGGCACAGGACGCACCCCCCCATGAGGCTGGGCATAGCACTGGTGAATGAAGTAAACTCCTGCCTGCAAGTGGCCTGCTCTGTGGCATGCAAACCCAACGGCAGCTCCTACACCTGCAGAAATGGGCCTCTGCGACCCGAGCCCTCCCCGCCGCCCACTGCTGCCCACCTGCCCTGCAGATGCTGGGTGTCCAGGGCCCAGCTCAATCGCACCTGCTGTCAGCCCTCTGCGGTCCTGGCACCACTCACTCCTGGGGCTGAAGAAGAGTGTGAGAGTCAGTGTGTGCGTGTGTGTGTAGTGGGGCGGGCAGAAGGGTTCCCACATATTTCAAGATATTTAGAAGCGTCCCCAACTCACATCCTCCGGATGCCAAGCGTGCCCCGTCTCTGCAGCTATGAGAACTCTGACATGAAGCCGAACATTGCGTGGTGAGAGGAGTGAAGGCTACCCAAGCCAGCAGCTCCCTCATGCCACCCTGCCACTTCGTTCATAGCTTCACTGTGGCCCCTACCAGCAAACCCCGTTTGGTTCTTCCTCCCCGTCCCCCACCTCTAGCTAAGGTCTGGAGTGGGTGGATGGGCAGTGATCAGATTTCTTTGATCACTGAGGTCAGATTCAAATTCTTGTCCTGGTCACTCAGACCCACTGCTTGTCTTCTCTGAGCCCACATTTGCAGAAGGACACTGCCAGTCCCTACCCCAGAGAGGTGAGTGTGCCAAGGGTACACCCCATGCAATGCCCAGCCCATAGCAAGGGAAGGATGAGCTGAGTACGCGTGGATCAGAGCCCTACAGGGCAATGAGTGCTACCGGAAGAGAGGGTCAAGGGGCGGGGCTTCTCCCTATTGGCCCAGGTCCCTAAGTGCAGGAAGGGTGGGCAGTGAAGGCTTCAGAGGGAATGTGGCAGCAGATGCAGGTCCCAGGCGCCCAGTGCCTTGAACACCATGAACACTGAGAAGGCATGAACCTGGGTTTGGGACGTAGAAGTCGCCATGTCTGCGAGGTAGGTTCTCCTGCCCATCACAGCTCTGTAAACCTCCACCTGCCATGCCCACTGCCCAGCCAGTCATCTCCCACTCCATGGTTTGAAGAACCTTTAATAGAAACTATTGCTGACCGACTGTCTCTCTGTCTGGAGGCAGTGAGGACAGGGTGACCCGTGGCAGTGTGTGGACATGGGGTGACGCCGCCCCAGCAGGAGTCCAGCTGTGTGAGGATGGAGCTGGGGTGCCCATACCCATCCTGGCTCCCAGGAAGGTCTTGCGTCCATCATGGACAAGTTTGTGTCCCTGACAGGAGCCCCAGGGGAAGAGGCTTTGGCAGTCTCCAGCTCAGGGTGAGAAACTGGTTGCTGATCCAGCTCTCTGCCCACCTGGAGCTGGAAACCGAAGTCACTGTGGCTGCTACAGGAAGAGGGAGGAGCCCAAGATGTGGCTGTGGGGTCTCGGTGCCCCTCCCGGCAGCTAGGAGAGCGCCTTGCTGCTCCAGTCTCGCCTTGGGGAGAAGCGTGGGAAGAGGGGTCGTCTGTTCTTCAAGACAGGTCAGGAAGGATGAGTCCCTCCCAAGCAGGAAAGTGCCCAGCGCTTCGGTGGCCAGATCCAGAGAGGCCCGCCAGGCCCTAGTCTGGGGTCCCGGGAGTGAGCTTCGCCTTTGGCCTGCACCCATCACTCATCACTCTGCTGGTGGCTCCCGGAGCCACAGGACAACCGGCTGGCTTCCCAGGGACGCCGAGGCCCCAGGGGCTGCTGGGCAGTGGTTGTCAGCCAAGAAGACAGGTTCAAGTGGGCTGGGCTGGGCCAGTTAGGGGTCGACAAAGGAGACAGCGATGTAGCGTGTGCCCTTGGTGGTGGGGAGCCCTTCATGGTAGTGCGTGAGCCGTCCGGGGTGCATCAGGGCCCACCCTTTCCTTGGAGCTCGGATGGAGCAGTTGTAGCGCAGGAAGCGACATCCCCCACCCTAGAAGACAGAAGTGTCAGTGCCCCGACAGGAAGTGGGTCCTTCTTTCTGTTCCCTGTTCTCTGCCCTCCCATGGGTCTGCCACAGCCAAGTGACCCCTGGGGGAAGCCTTGTGGAGTGACACTCGCTGGCTGCCTAAGGGAGACCTTAAGCCAAGACTAAGCGCCCAAGCACCCTGTCCTGTGAGTCTAACATCCCTGGGCAAATTCATCCCTCACCAACTTGGTGACCAACCCGTGCCTCAGTTTCCCCTTCTGTAAAATAGAGAACTAAATGTGCAAACAGGACCTTAGGGTCCAGCTTCTTAGCCTCACTTTTACCATACTTTGTTGAGGGGGCGCTGGCCTGGGCATTCCTGGTCTCACCCACTACATCCCTTTCAAAAAAACAAAAGCAAAAAACAAAACCTTCCAGGTTACAGTCTGTCTCTCTGGCTTTTGCTCTAAAATAAGCAAATAAATCACTTAAAAATAAATAAATTCTGCTTGAGGAATGAATGCGTGCAAGAGTGATCCTAGCTCATCACAGCCAGAGGGCTCCCCTGGGCACACGGAGTCCCCACCACTGCTGTCCCCAACTCTCCTATCTCCCTGGTATCCTGGCATGGCCCTCCAGCCCCTCCCCTGCGCCCCACACCCACCTGGCACCCTCCCTCCAGCATCTCCCCTCTACCCCACACCCACCTGGCACCCTCCCTCCAGCCCCTCCCCTGTGCCCCACATCCACCTGGAATCCTCCCTCCAGTCCCTCCCCTGCGCCCCACACCCACCTGGCACCCTCCCTCAGCATCTCCCCTGCGCCCCACACCCACCTGGCACCCTCCCTCCAGCATCTCCCCTGCACCCCACACCCACCTGGAATCCTCTCTCCAGCCCCTCCCCTGCACCCACACCCACCTGGCACCCTCCCTCCAGCATCTCCCCTGTGCCCCACACCCACCTGGCACCCTCCCTCCAGCATCTCCCCTGTGCCCCACACCCACCTGGCACCCTCCCTCCAGCATCTCCCCTCTGCCCCACACCCACCTGGCACCCTCCCCCCAGCCCCTCCCTTGTGCCCCACACCCACCTGGCACTCTCACCTATGGCCTATATCTATCTTGCACCCTCCTCCCTCCAGCCCCTCCCCTGTGCCTCACACTCACCCCAGCACCCTCTCTGCCACCCACAGAGCACAGGGCTCTCTTCCTGGAAGCCCTCCAGGCTTTATCTCGAGGATTCCCCTGTGCACCAACTGGGGTCTCCTTAAATGACTCCCTGATGACCTCACTTCACCCTCAATCCAACTCCACAGAGAGAGACTGTTCTAAGTTTTCCCATCAAAGAACCTGGGGACGGAAATGGGTTAAGAACCATGCTTGCAGCCCCAGGGCCAGCAAGGGGAGACAGGGCCTAGAGGCGGGCAGCTGATTAACCCCACAACCCCCTGAAGACACTGCCCTCCCTCCAGTAGAATCATGCCAGCTTAGGACTCTGGTGGTCTCCTCCCACCGCCCCTGTCAGCTGTTCCCTAGCCAGCCCTCCCAGATCTCCCGCCCCCATGACCACACCCAGCTCCAGGGGTCCCCACGGACCTCATAATCCACCCCGACCCGGTTCAGGGCGATGTTGACGGTGAAGGTGGAGGCATCGTGGTGCGGCATCAGCGAGGGCTGCTCGTCAGGCTTGTAGCGGACCACGAAGGCCAGATCAAACTGGGCCTGTGCAGGCAGTGGACGGAAGGACAGACGTTAACGGAGTGCGGCCCAGAAAGCTGGGGCAGGCCAGGGTGCAGGGCCAGGCCTCATCCAGCCTGCTGGGAAGTCACCTCTGGAGCACCCCGTTATTTAACTCCACGTCCTCCAGGGCCTGGAAGGGAGGCACGAGATTCTCCCTGAAGGGTTGTGATTCCAAGAGCAGGATGCAGGCACACCCACAGCAGGTGTTTGCAGAGTACTGAGAAAGGCCTGAGGGCGGAGGGTGCCCAGGACACAGGTCCTCCCATGGTGGGACCACAGAGAGACAGACGGGGATCTGCTGCCCAGTGGTCTGGGGGCTTCTTTGTGGGTTGGTATAGGAGCCACTAAGGCAGGGCTTAATGATATGGGGAAAAAAAACTCAAGAGGAGACAGGGTCAGGGGCGAGGGCAGAGCGGTGGCCTTCCTGGACCCAGACCCCTCCTTTCCCTCCCTCCCCACTCCTACGCCCCTCCCCCATCCTGGCTGCCCCCCAGACATGCCTACCCTGGTGTAGTAGCCTGGGTATAGCTTCTCCGTCATGGGGGCAACGTATTCCACCAGGAACTTGTGCCATTCCCGCTCAAAGCCAATCTGGTTCATGTGAATGTCAATGGTGGGAACGTTTTCATAGCCACCCTGGATGCGGTTGTCCTGCAAGTGACCGAGGAGAGCATGGCAGGGGCTGACACCGGGCTGCAACAGGCTCAGCTGTTACTGGGACACCTGCTTCATGGACTGAAATAGTGGATTAACTCCCAGCTACTTCTCTTCTGATCTAGTTCCCCACAGTTGCCTCCTGGGAGGCAGTGGATGATGGCACAGTGCCAGGGTTACGGTCACCCGTGTGGGAGACTCAGCTGAAGCTCAGGCTCCTGGCTGCAGCCTGGCTCAGTTTCTCCCTCGGCTTGCTCTGTCTTTCAAGAAGATGAAAATAAATAAATACACATTAAAGAGAGCACGGTAGGTCAATCCCAAGAGGCCCCCAGCTCCCATGCACTGGCCTTTGGGCTCTAATACCACCTGCTCCTTGACCTGGGAAATAACGGGACCTAGTTACAGTCTGTGGCAAAAGTGAAAGGGTTTTAGGCCCGGAGTGTAGCCTAGCAGCTAGTCTTTGCCTTGCACGTACCAGGATCCCATATGGGCGCCAGTTCTAATTCCAGTAGCCCCACTTCCCATCCAGCTCCCTGCTGTGGCCTGGGAAAGCAGTGAAGGACAGCCTTGTGGGAGACCCAGAAGAGGATCTGGACTCCTGGCTTAGAATCGGCTCAGTTCCGGCCATTGCAGCCACTTGGGGAATGAGTCATTGGACGGAAAATCTGCCTTTCTGTCTCTCCTCCTTTCTGTATATCTAAGTTTCCAATAGAAATAAAATAAATCTTATTTTAAAAAAAAGGTGAAGGGGTTTTGCAGATGTAAGGAAGGTCTCTAACCAGTTGATTTGCATTAAACCGGGGAGCCCGACCAGCTTGAAGGAGCCTTAAAGCAGGGTCTTAGGAGCAGGCATGAGGCCTAGCCGTGAAGTTGTCCGAGTTCCACATCAGAGTGCTCGGGCTCAATACCAGCTCCGGCTCCTGACTCCAGCGACCAGCCAACACACACCACAGTGGGTGCACATGCTGACTCAACTACGTGGGTGCTGCCACCCCCACGGGAGACCTGGATGGAGTTGGGGAATCCTGGCTTCAACCTGGCTCCGTCCTGTGTTACATATATTTGAGGAATGAACAGGCAGGTGGGAGATCTCTGTCACTGTGCCTCTCAAAGAAATACATGCATATGCACCTTTTAAAAATGGAGCTTGAACCCCAAGATGAGTGCAGGCAGGACATTCAGGGAACACCTGACTCTCACACCCATCAGCCCACTTCCAGGGTCTGATGACCTTGGACCTGCCCTGGCCTCCTGATGGCCCCTCATCATCTTCACGTAAGACTACATAAGTCCCACAGCAGGGATGGCAGCCTGGCACCCACCCTCCATCTCCAGTTTCCCATTCTCCCTACTCCTGACCGTCTACAAGTACCCCTGCCAACACCCCCACCCCTAGCCCCCTGCAAGACTGAGAAGGCAGCCAGGGGAACAGCCCAGGCCTCTATGGTCCCCACCTTGTTGTCGCCCCGGGACCACTGGCCGTAGTGTTCCATCTCCTCCACCAGCTCGTCACAAGCCACCTCCGTGAAGATGGGGAACCAGTACACATCTGGGCAAGGCTGGAAAGGGCAGGGCCTCTGTCACATGGGGAACGGGGGCACTGCAGCAGCACCCCGCGTCCCTCAGCTCTGGGGCCCTCCTGGAGCCCATGTCCCACCCCACACCCCAATCTGTCCCCGGGGAGCAGGCCCACTGCCACACAGGAGGGCACTGCTGAAGGCAGGTAGAGCCCAGCTCAGGGACAGACTTTCTTAGCCTAGGTCACAGAGCCATTGGAGCCAGGACCCAGAGAGAAAAGTGCACACCAGGGGGCTAGAGACCCACGGGCCCGGGGAGGTGGATGGTGAACCGGCAGGGGGAAGTACCCACACCTTGGCCCTGGCCCAGGGACCCCCAGAGTCCTCCTCTCCACGGCCTGTGCCAGGAAAGAAACCCAGGTCCCCAAGGTCCTGGCACGCTCCAGCTGGCAATGTGCGGACCATCCTCCTCCCCCCATGCCAAGCACAGCCAGAGCACACAGAAATAGGCATTTCCCTGCCCCCAGCTTCCACAGCTGGCCAGGAGCTGCGTTCCTCACCATCTCCACCAGCTTCCCCGCCAAGGCCTTGTCGTAGTCCTCATGGATGTATTTCTCCTTCCAGTCCTGTGGGCGACAAGCAGTGGGCTGGGGTCCTGGGAGCTGGCCTGAGCCAGCTGCACTCCCCACATGCTCAAATGCCCGAGATTCCCCAAGAGGGCCCACCTCACGCCTGGAGAACATGTATGTCCACTATGCACGTGTGCCTGAGTGTACGTCTGTGCAGATGTGCGCATGTGTCTCCCACATCTGAGAACAGCCACACTGTCTCCTCCTCTGACCACCACAATCGCTTTGGGGTGAGGGTATGTACCTGTTTTAGAGCTAAAACAACTGAGGCCCCCAAAGTTGAGAAGCTCAATGGAGCCCCAGCTGATGGCAAGTGCTCTGTCACAACTGGTACTTCTTCCACCAGATGGCGCTGTCTCTAAGGTGCCCTACATGTCCTGCAAATCCCCCAGGCCGGCCCACTCCAACCCTCACCTCGGGGTTGCTGAACACCTCCCAGAGATCGCCGTGGAGGTGGGTGGTCTGGTAGCTGTCCAGGGAGAGCAGGTGGCCAAAGGAATAGCGGTTGGTCAGGAACATGAACACCTCCTGGAAAAAGCAGGTCTGCTGGAAGCCCCCCCGCAAGACCCCAGCCTCACAACCAACAGCCCTATATGCCTGACAGCCTCCCCACAGGGCCACCAGCCATGAGGGGGCCTGGGGTGGTCGTGAGGGTCAGAGCTGAGGTCCCATCCCTGCCCCAGGGCCCCATGGTCAGCCAGCCCCACTGACCTGCTGCCGGAGGTTGGCGCAGAAGGCCATATCCGGGTCCAGCTTACTGTGGTGGAACAGGTCGGGGTGCTGCAGCTCAGCCCGCAGAGCACTACCTTTGATCAGGTAGATGTTCGAGATGTATGGCACGTTCCAGACACCGCTGAGACACAGAGAGGAAGACAGAGGGCTTCATTGCTGGCAAGCAAGGATCTCGGGCCGGGACTGGGGGGACTGGGGGGAGGCCACCCGCTGGGAGAGGGACATCCTGGTGGGTGGGTGCGACTGCTGCAGTCCTCCCTGCTGGAGACAAAGTGCAGGTCCCGGGGCAGCCCAGCCTGCAGGTACTCACGCCCGCCGCCCCTGCACGATGTCCACGTAGTCTTCGGAGCGGGCGTAGTAGCCGTCAGCGCTCAGCGCCCCCCAGAAGTTGGACCACAGCCTCCCGTGGCGCGTCAGCAGTGGGGTGAGGACATTCCTGGGGAGACCAGCACCTGAGTGGGGGTCCTACTAGGGAGCAGGAGGCCCACCCGGCTGGGGCGTCCTCCACCTGCACACGGGGATCGCCACGCTCCTCCCTGGGCCGCAACCTCGGCCAACAGGGAGGTTGGGCTCATCAGAATGACCAGGAGCCAACAGCACAGGGACTCGCAAAGATGGTTGGGCTCCCATATCCTGGGGGATAGGGCTAATAAGGAAGAAGAGAAAGACAAGGGGGCTCCCAGACTGGGGCTAAAGTACTACACTGAGCCACGGTGGGCCGGGACTGGGCTGTCGGGGCTCGCCCGCCCCACCAGCCTCACTTGTTCTGCTCAATCAGCAGCCGCAGGCTGTCAGGCTCAGTCAAGGCCACGTCGGCATCCATGCTGAAGTAATAGGTGCAGGTACGGTCCTGCCGGCACAGGTCTCTGCAAAGAGGGGGATGCAGGGTCAGCCCCCAGCCAGGACCACATCTGGCTTCCCCGTTCACCTGCCAAGAGACCTTGCGGAGGGCCCGACAATCCTGGTGCCAGTCGGGACCAGCAGCCTCCAAGTCCTTCCTGGGGGGTACTAGGAGGCTGCAACCCCATGGGTACCCTAGTTCTAGTCCCGGCTGCTCCACTCCTGATCCAGCTGCCTGCCAAAGCGCCTGGGCAGGCAGCAGAAGGTGCTTGGGCCCTGCCACTCGTGTGGAAGACCCAGATGGAGTTCCAGGCTCCTGGCTTCAGCCTGGCCCAGCCCTGCCTATTATAGCCATTTGGGGAGTGAACTGGTAATATGGAAGATCTCTTTTTCTGTTCTTTCTCTTTCTCTCCAACCTGCCCCTCAAATAAATTAATCAGGCCCTCCTGACTCACAGACCCACACCCTGGACAACTGTGCTTTGAAGAGAAAGGTCTAGAACTTAGCAGCTGCCATCAAATGCCCCGAGAAGCCAGGGATTATGGGTGGCCCAGCTGGCCCCACAGGGTCTCCACTGCCGGGCGGGACAGGCTGGGGCTGCCTCCGGGCGGTGGGCCGACATCAAAGCCTTCAGACCCACACTCTTGTTTATCCGGGCCAAGGCCCAGCCGCCCACGGTCCACAGTGCAAGTCCTCCCGCCACCTGGGTTTGCCCAGCTTTTGAGCTAAGCATGGCTTTAGGTTTTTACATGGTGAGGGGAAGAACATTTTAGAAGAGGGATAGAAAGTCAAATTTCCACGTCCATAAATAAAACGCTGCTGGCACACAGCAACACACACCGAGTGACACATCTCCCGAGGCTGCTTTTGCACCATGGGTCGAGTCGGGCTACCGCAGGCCACAGGCTTTACCATTGAGTCCCTTAATGGAAGCTTGCTAACCTGTAATCTAGATGGTCTAACTCTTCCATGGTTAACATAAATTTTTGTTTTTAATTAAAAGAAAAAAAATCAGGGGCAGGCATTGTGTGTGGCACGTTAGGCTGGCTCTCGTGCCACCGCATCCTATACTAATGGGATCAAGTCCCACTTCCACTTCTGCCACAGCTCCCTGTTCAAGTGCACCCCAGGATGCAGCGGCTTTGAAAAATGGAGGGGCTGGCTTTGTAGTGCAACAGGCTAAACTGCTGCTGGGATGCCGGCATCGCATATTGGAGCGCTGGCTTAAGCCCAGCTCCTCCATGCCCCATCCAGCTCCCAGTTCATGCCCCTGGGATGGCAGATGCAGAAGGCCCACAGACTGTGGATGACTTCTAGGATGGAGTTCCTGGACTCTGACTCAATGGGGCCCTGGGCATTTGAGGAGTGAACTGGCGGGTGGAAGAGCTGTCTCCTTCCCTCCTTCCTCCATCGGTCACTCTTCCAAATAAAATAAATTAATTAAGAAAAAAAAGATCATAAATTCTCTGTCAGCGTTGACCTACTTCTAGCCTGCCAGTCGTCCCTGACTGAGCCCTGAGGTGGGCAGGTGAGAAAACTCCCGCTCCCTTACCCCCAACAGGTGAGGCCAGGGAAGGGTAGAGTGGTGGCCCCACGCAGCCCATGGAAGCCCAGTGCCCGCCACTCACGCGCCCAGGTTCCTGGCGTCCGCATTCGCCATCCGCACCTCGGGGCCCAGCAGCTTCACAGACTGGTACTCAGCACCGTGCTCCACCAGAAACTGCTCCACCTGGGCCTTGTGGTGCTGCTCCTGGGGCGGGGGTGGAATGAGGACGAGGGGGTGGGTGGGGCGAGGATGAGGACTGGATGACCCCCTGGGACCCCAGCATTCCCAAATCCCAGACCTTTGCTCACGCCAGGCCCTCCGGTCATCCTCGTGACCAGACCAGACCCTATGGGCTTCTCAGGAGCCTCTGGCCCCCTGCGACCCACATCCTGAGACACCCACAGGTCAAGGGTGTGGCTCAGGGTTCAGCTCAGATGACCCTTAGTTGAGCCCTACGAAGCAGCAGTCCCCCCTCTCTGAGGCCCAGCTCCACCAGGGCAAGCTCGCAGCCCTAGCCAGGCCCTCCCGCCGCCTCGGCTTCAGCTTCCTCCACCACAGGCCCTGCGAGCAGCCAGCAAATCCGACATAGCACGCAAGAGGTCCCCAAGGGACGCTTGTGACCATATTCTCAGGGCCCTGGTTCCTATTGTGCTGCGGGTAAGCCTGGAACCTCCGACAGGACAGGAGGATACCTTATTTCCTCTGTCCCCAAGGGACCCACTGCATAGCTGATGACCTAGGCAGACACCCAAGCTGAGCGTGGGACTCAGGGTGGGCACAGGGAGGGCAGCTACCAAACCTCAGGCAGACAACACCCTTGAGGAGCAGGTACACTGTGAGGAGTGGACCCGGCATCCCAGTTAGGGAAATCAGCAGGAGATGCCTAGAGTTGGAACTTGCCCCAGCTAGGAAAGAGATGGGAAGCAAGCCTCAGGCCCCTCGCTGGCTGCCCCATCAAGGGATGAAAACCCATCTGTCAGATCAAACTGGCAAGATGAAAGGGGGCAGGGATAGGAGCGACAACCTCAACTGCTGACAGCACATCCTGTGTGCTTCCCATGCACCAAGGACGCTCCTTGCATGTTGCATGGCAACACACTTAACCCTGGCACCACCAGAGGCAGCTGGCATTGCTGCTGTCCCCGAAACAAAGAGAGGTCACGTGACATGTCCAGGGTTACACAGCCCATAAAGGCAGTGGTGCTGAGAGTCAAGCCTAGCCAGACACACTCAGTGATGTGGGGACACACAGCCCTCCTCCATGTCCACTGGGCCCTGATCAGCTGGGTCCAGCGAGCTCCACGGAGGTCTCGGCGGCACCTGCCACTCACGTGGTTGTGGATGAAAAGCCGCATCTGTCTCCGGGGATAGTGGAGGCGCAGGAGGCGCTTGAAGAACAGTGACAGGAATGGCGTGGGCTGCTCGATGAACACGCCAACCAGGACCACGGGCAGATCATCATCCTGTGCAGGAGGAGGCATGGGAGTTGGCCAGTGTCCAGACATGGCATGGCCTGAGCCTCGGGCAGAGCAGAGAGGAATCAGGGTCAGGCAGCACCAAGCAGGGTGTACAGGTGGGCAGGGGCAGGGCCTAGTGGGAAAGCAGTAGGAAGGGGGGATAGGCGATGGGCGCCCCGAGACTTGGAGCAGGACCCACTGGGCAGCACTGATCTGATCTGGGCTGGTATGGCAGTGGGGTGAGGGGTGTGAGGTTTGTGAGCCGAGGAGAGCCAGTGGGCAGAAGATATCAAAAGCACAGGCAACATGCAGGAAGCCAGAGGTTGTAGAATCTGGGAAGGTTCCCAGGAGGAGACACTGGGTGGCCACGGAGTTGGAATCCCAGACCAGAAGGTCACCTTTGAACTTCCCAGAGAGAACAAAGTCTCTTCCGGAATCATCCAGCCCAGGAGGCAGTCCCCAGCGGCTCACCCCAAGGCCCTTGAGGCTGCGCAGGCCCTCGTCACACACGGCGCAGCCCGTCTCGAAGGTCCAGAAGCGTGGGATGTAGTTGCCCAGGTAGTTCAACTGCAGCTGTTGGGACACCTGGGGTCAGAGAGCAGTAGGACCAGCCCTGCCCCCATGCTGCCAGGAATCCTGCCTCTGGGACCCCTGGGGCCCACACTCATCCCTCTCCTGCCCCAAGGGGGTCTTAGGGAGAGTGTTTCATCACCCAGAAACCACAGTGGCTGCGCTAGGGAGAACGGGGGAGAATCACGCACTGTACCGCTTTGGATCTCCTGAGAGCTTGGAAAATGTATATTCCTGGGCCCCACTCCTGTGGAGGTTCTAGCAGGAAATCTGCACAGTTAACATGCCCTCCTTCCTCGCCCCGCCCGTCTGACACGGACTTCAGAACGCTGTGAGCCATCGATCAGATCCCCATGGGCAGGCAGCTCCACCTGCTCCCAGTCACGGCTGGCCAGTGTCAAGGTCACAGGACGTCCTTCCTGTTCATGTCTGGCCAGTTCTATTCCCAAGAGGAAACGTGCAGTAAATGTTTGCTGAGCAAATAAACCATGACTGCCCTGGAGTGACATCATGTTGAGGGTTCTGGCAGTCTGGCCCTGGGCCTTGGCGGGGAGGGGACAGTGGCCTCCTGTTTATCTGTGGTCCAGCAGGGATACTCAGTGCCCCCAGTGGCTACCACAGCAGAGAAAGAAAGCTGCATGTGGAGACCCAGGAGGGAGGGAACAGGGCTCCCTGGGAACCCAGGCAGATGGCCCTGGCTCCAGGGAGAAGCTGTGGGGTGGCAGTGAGTTTGGAAGTGGGGCCCTGCCTACCTGCCAGGCCCACTCCTCAGGCCCTGGGCCCCTTCCCTACCTTAGTGGGTCCATTGCCATGGATGAGGACAGGGAGGGTGTCGTAAGCCAGGTTCCGCGCTCGCACATGGCCCATTTCAAACTTGAGCACGACCTCATCTGGGGGTGAAAAGCACAGGGTTGCCCAGCTCAGTATGGGCAGGCTGACCTCAGATCCCAGCTCATCAGCAGACAGGTTAGAACCTCGGGAGAGCCACTCTGCCAGCTCCAAGCCTCAGTTTTCTCATCTGCAAAATGGGTGTAATCCCTTCTTCCTGGGGGAGAGTTGGGGCACTGGGAGTCTGGCAAGGCCCAGACACACAGCAGCCCCTTCACGTTTCCACACAGACCAGGGGCTCCTAAAGTTTATGAACACCACTGAGAAATGCTGTACACAGATCTCAAATTATTTCTGATGCCAAAATGAACATTTATTTGAATTTCACTTCCAGGGCTTTTTTGTTTGAATCAGAAGCAGAAAACAGCAAACCAAGAGCTGGAACATCCCAACTTCAGACACAGTCCAGCGAAGCCCTACCGACAGGGGTCCAGGAGGCCCCCTTTCACAAGAGGACTAAAGCAGCATTGAACATGCGCCAGTTGTGGGGGGCGGAGGCTGGGGCAGAATGGGCAGTTCAGGGGGTCCTCTCCTGGTGGACAAAGCCCCTCCAGGGGGTCCCACACCTGCTGACTCTGAGACTGCATGGAAGGAGACAGGTGGGAGACAGCCAGCACATGACATCCTGGGGCAGGCAGTCAAGATACCCAAGGCCCACACTGCAGTACCATGTTCCACTTCTGGCTCCAAGGCCCAGCTCCAGGTTCCTGCTAATATCATCCTGGGAGGCAGATGATGTGGCTGAAACTGAGTCCCTGCTGCCCATGTGGGAGACCAGGACTGAATGCCCAGCTCCAAGCTTTGGCCCAGCCTAGTCCCAGCCATTGCCGTGTGTGTGTGTGTGTGTGTGTGTGTGTGTGTGTGTGTGTGTGTGTGTGTGTGTGTCCCTCTCTCTGTGTCTTTTGATAAATAAATTCTTTCAAAGAATGATAAAACTATGAATGGATTTCAGAATTTCTGTACTAAAATAAACTTATCTTTAAAAATAAATTTGCTATTTTAATTTATTTAAGAGACAGAGAGGGGCAGGTTCCCTAGTATGCTGTTAAGCCTCCACCTGCAGCACCAGGCTCCCATATGGACACTAGTTTGAGTCCCAGCTGCTCTACTTCTGATCCAGCTCACTGCTGATAGCCTGGGAAAACAGTGGAAGACAACCCAGGTTCTTGGGCCCCTGGATCCATGTGGGAGACCTAGAAGAAGCTCCTGGCTCCTAGCTTCCAACCAGTCCATTTGGGGAGTGAATCAGTAGATGCAAGATCTCTCTGTAACTCTTTCAAATAAAAATTAATGTTTTTTAAAAAGAGGTAGAGAAATGGAAAAAAGACGGACAGGGATCTCTTGCATCTGTACACTCTCCCTACACAGCTGGAACAGCCAGGACTGGGCCAGGCCAAAGCTGGGAGCCAAGAACTCCAGGTCCCACACAGGAAGCAGGGGTGCAAGGACTCGGATCCCTCACTGCTGCCTCCCATGGTTGGCATTAGCAGGAAACCGGAATCAGACAGCACTGGGACTGGAAACAGGCACAGGCGCTCCAAGCAGCGGTGTCTCAGCTCCTGCACTGCAGCCCCACAGCAACCTGCATTCAATGGGAGGTTGTGGCCAGGATGAACAGAGTCCCTGCAGGGGAGCTCCTGAGCTGCGGAGGTGAGGGGATCCAGAACCCTGGAGCCACGGGGGAGCAGGGTGGAACACGCCTCTTCATTTCTGGGGAAAGAGCTTATGTTGTTGTCTTTAGTCCCCTTTAAGATCACCAGATCCTAGTTTCACTTCCTTCTTCTAAGGCAGGAAAGCAAGGCCCTGGGGTGACATGGGGGTGTGACTTTCTTGGGGTCACTTAGAAATCCCTGTGGCAAAGTCAAATCACCATCAGTCTTGGGTATGAGGCCAGGCCCAAGGCGCTTTGGCTCCAAGGGCCAGGCAGCCTCTCGGCTTCCCAAGTTGGCCGTCAAGTCCCAGCCAGCTCAGGCCTGGCGCCCCCCACGCAGGAATCCTGCACCCAAAGGTGGGAGGCTCGGGAAAGAAGGGAAGGAGGCCCACCTGGGAGGCTGTGGCATACAGGGGGCTGGCACGCAATGTCCCCGTGTGCACTCAGCTCCACCCAGGCTCAACAACACTCCCTTCCCCAACCCCTGCTCCAGGACAAGCAGGTAATCTCTGGGGACGCTGGGCCACAGGCTCAGCCCTGCCTGCACTCCTCATTGCCTTCCTCCTACCCTCCCCAGGATCCATCCTCATCATGGAGGCTGCTCACCCAAGGCTCCATCCAGGTTCTGGAAGATGCGGCAGCGGTGATCCAGGGTGATGTTGATCCGTGCCTGCAATAAAGAGGGCTGGGAGCTGCAGTAGGGCCCAGCGTTGGTGGAGGGTGGACCCCATCACTCCCGGTGAGGGAGCCTGTCCCCCACCTCTGTCCCCCTGCCCCGTCTCCCGCTCTGTTGTGACATCAGCCAAGCCCTGGGATCCACTGGTGACCCCAGAGCAGAGAAAGCCTAAGGAGCAGCTTGCCCAGTGGCAGCGATGACCACCAGGCTAACAGATGACCATCAGTGCTTTCCGGCAGGCTGTGCAGGCTTCACACACGTCACCCAGCTTAAGCCTTACAACATCCCCATGGCAACAGGCAGCTACTCCTGCACTGTATGGCTGAGAAGCCCATCGCCACACACCATCCTGGCACCATGACCTTGCACTCCCAGCCTCCTCAACTGCCTGTTGTTTCTAAGGCAATGACAGCAGCGGGAACGGACAAAGTCAGCAACCTGGGGGTCAGACCCCAAGGGGGTTGACCCCAGTGCAGCCTGGCCAGAGGGAACGAGAATTGGCCCGCCCTCTCTGCCTCTTACCCGCTTTTCCGGGTCCAAGAAGATCTTGGTGTAAAAGAGCTGGTCGCTGTCACTGTCCTGGCCCTCCCACTCGGCCACCAGTTTGCTGAGGTAGGGGGCATAGCCGATGAAGCCTGGATATGCAGATGAGCAGGGACACAGAGAGAGAAGTCAGGTTTACAGCTTCTGTGCCAGGGGCCTCTCCTCCTCCTTCCCTCTCAAGTACCTCCTTTTCCTATAAGCCCTGTCTCTTCTGAGAAGTCCTCCTGGATTGAGGGAATGTAGGCTGCAGGCCTGAAACGGGTCTGCCAGTTCACCTTATTGGCGGACCCATTCCCACTGCTGCCAGGAAGACTAGTGGTGCCCACCAAACCTTAGCGCTCCAGCACTGAGCACCATCTGGCTGGTGAATAAGTAGATGGGACCAGGAACAGAATGGCTGAACCCAGGCTTGGAACCTCTCCTACATATTTATCAAGGAGCCATGGCCCGGGGAGGGCAGAGACTAGCCAAAGTCGTAGGGCAAGTTGAAGGTTGAAGCGGGCCACTATGTGCAGAGTGCAGACTGGTGAGAGGGAGAAGTGAAGCAGACATCACTCCCTGTGGGCCCAGGCACCAGGACCGTTCCAACCCTCAGGTCTGCGAAGCCCGGGGCCCCCCAAGACCACCAGGGACAGACGCTGCTCGATTCTACTCTCCGTGCATCGGGAAGCCGTAGAGTGTCACAAGGGCAACTCCAGGTTTTTATAAGAGTTGGCCAAGCATCCAGTGAGGGCGGGGACCATGTACGGCGACCTTGGACCCCAAGGGCAGACCCCGAGACATTTTGGAGGTGGGTTCATCGTATGGCTTCTCAGCCTGCTGGCTAAGATCAAGTGTGTGGAGGCGGGTTCATCGACAGACAGGAGGGGTCAGGACACAGGGGAAGAATCAAGAGTGGCTCCCCAGTTTGCCTGAGTGCGTGGGGGCTCTGACAGATGGGGAGACTTCACACGTGGAGCGGGTATGGGCTCAGGGTCTGCATTGTGCAGCCTGTAAGGCTGCTATTTAACTATATAGGACACCAGCATACCATATCAAGTTCAAATTCAAGCTCCAGCTGCTCCACCTCCAATCTAGCTCCCTGCTAATGTGCAGGAGAAAGCAGCAACAGATGGCCCAGGTACTTCCGGCCCTGCCACCCACGTAGGAGATCCAGCTGGAGTTTCATGCTCCCGGCTTCAGCCTGGCCCAGCCCTCATTATCCCAGCCTTTAGGGGAATGAACCATGCAATCTCTCTCTCTCTGCCTTTCTCACCTCTCCTTTTTCTGTTGTTCTGCTTTTCAAAAAAGAAAAAAAAATTCTTTAAAAGACAACTCTGTCCAGGACCTTCCACATTTGAGACCCGGGACGCTCACAGAGGCAGCACCCTCTGCCGGGCATGCTCTCTGCAGGGGCCTCTCACCTCCAGAGCCCAGGAACCTCTTTCCATCGGACACCACCGGGTACTTGGCCTCCAGCCTGCGGTCTGGGTAGATGAGCTCCTCGGCTGAGAAGACCACCTGACTCCTGGCCTGCCGGAACTTCTTCAGGAGCTCGCGGGGTCCCGACGCAAATACCACATCATAGCTGTGACCCGAGCAGAGAGGAGCCAGAGAGGGCAGGGGTGAGTGGGGGCTGGGGACAGCCCAAGGACTCCAGCCCTCCCAGACTCCTCCATTCCCACCAGCCCTGGGTCCCCATCTGGAAAACGGATCTGCCCCAGGTTGGCCTGCACGTTTCTACCCATCTCCTGGTCACCATAACCCAAGTCCTTGTCATACCAGGCAAGTGATACCTCCCATATTTTTACCGAGGGCGGGAAAGGGTTACAACAGAGAGGTCTATTACTGATCTGTTTATTTAAAGGACAGAGTTAGAGAAAGAGTAAGACAGATCTCTACCCACTCTCCATACAGCCCCTACAGCTGGGGCCAGAACTTCATCCAGGTCTCCCATGTGGCTGCAGGGGCCCAAGCACTTGGGCCATCCCCCTCTGCTTTCCCAGGTGCATCAGCAGGGAGCAGCCCTGGAAGTGCAGCAGCTGGGACTGGAACCAGCACTCATGTGGGATGTTAGTGCTGTTGGCGGCAGCTTAGCCTACTGCGCCACAGTGCCGGCTTGCTGCACCAGAGGGCTTTGCCCAGGATTTGTGGGACCCCTAAAAACCACACGCACCCTCAATCAGAGTGAGGCCTCTCATCCTTGCTATTTGGGGAGAGCCTCGTTTTAGGCCTTGGGCACATCTCAGAGACACTGTAGGTCTACACTGCACTAAAGTGAGAATTGCAAGCAAGTGGGTTTCTGAGATTTCTGGCTTCCTGTTGCCTGTAAGTCACGTCCATCTTAAGTGTATCTAAAACACAATGGCCAGGGGCTTATGCTGCGGTCAGGCCACGACGAGCAACAGCAGCAGCCCTTGCGGGAGGACCACTTCTGATCCAGCTCCCTGTTGATATGCCTGGGAAAGCAGCAAAAGACTGCGTGAGTGCTGGGGCCCCTGCACCCACACGGGAGACCCAGATGCAGTTCCTGGCTCCTGGCTCCGGCCTGGCCCAGACCGCGCTGTTGCAGTCCGTGGATAGAAGAGCTCTCCCTTTCTCTCTCAAGAGTTCAATCCCCCTCTCTTTCAAATACATCTAAAAATAAATAAATACATAAATGCATGAATAAATAAATAACTAAAGGGAGCAAGTGCTGTGGCATAGGAGGTAAAGCCACTGCCTGTGGTGTTGGCATCCCATACAGGCACTGGTTCTAGTCCCATCTGCTCCACTTTCCATTGAACTCCCTGCCAATGTGGCTGGGAAAGCAGCTGGAGATGACACAGGTGTTCGGATCTCTGAACTCACAGGGGAGACCTGTAACAAGCTCCTGGCTCCTGGCTTTGGACTGGTCCAGTTCTGGCCAGTTTGAAGTTTTTTTTGTTTCTTTAAAAAAATATATGTATTTGTTTATTTATGGAAAGTAAGATATACAGAGAGAAGGAGAAACAGACAGGAAGCTCTTCTGTCCAGTGATTCACTCCCCAAGCTGCCTCAATGGCTGGTGCACGATCGGCTTTGGGCCGTTCTCAACTACTTTCCCAGGCCACAAGCAGGGAGCTGGATGGGAAGCGGGCTGCCAGGATTAGAACTGGCGTCCATATGGGATCCTGGCACGTGCAAGGCAAGGACTTTAGGTGCTAGGTTATCGCGCTGGGCTCCTTTTGTTTGTTTTTTAAGATTCATTTTTCAGAAAGTTACGGAGAGGAGAGATAAGAGATTTTCCCATCTGCTAGATCACTCCACAAATGATCAGAACTGAACAGACCCAAAGCCAGGAACCCAGAGCTGCCTTGGGTCTTTCATATTAGTGCAGGGTCCCAAGGCTTTGGGTCATCCTCTGCTATTTTTCTAGGCCACAAGCAGGGAGCCAGATGAGAAGTGGGGCAGCCGAGACTAGAACTCACATCCATATGAAATGCCAGCACCACAGGCGATAGGGCCTGCCGTTTCAAGATAGATTCTCTCTCTCCCTCTGACTCTCTCCCTCTGCCCCATCTCTCTGGTACTCTCCCCTGCAAGGCCAGGTAAGGAAGCCCCACTCACCTGTCGGTGAAGAGAATGACCAGGTCCTCCTTGTCCGCGTGCTTCTCCAGAGCTTTCTTCAGCAGCCGAACCTTCTGCCCTCCACCTGCCGACAGCCCCGTCTGCTCATGCCAGTCCTCCCCCAGGCCGAGCACCTGCAGAGAAAGGCCCCTGAGCGCTGGCTCTCGTTATAACAGACTTTTCAGGTCAAAGTCCCATGACCGAGTCACGCAGTAAGCATCTAACTTGATTTGCCCCAGCTTCTCTGATCCTCCCCTATATCGAAACCAGTGGGCACAGGCGCGAGGCTGACCTGTGAGCACGCGACTATCCCTGGACACGAAGATCCCCATCCCTCCTGGCCTCCCACTTGTGAGCCAAGCATGGCCTATCAAAGCCTTCCCTAGGACTTTCTGTTAAAATTAAGGACAGGTTGTTTTGTTCTGTTGACAGATTGGGGCATGGGGCTGACACTGTAACATTATGGATTCAGCTGCCACCTGCAGCACTGGCACCCCATATGGGTAGCAGTTCAAATCCTGGCTGCTCCACTTAAGATTCAGCTCCCATCATGGGATGGGTGGGAGGCTGAGTGGGGCTTCTCCTTTTATCTCCCCTCTTACCCCAGATACAGGAAAAAAAAAAAAGAAAGAAAGAGAGAGAGAATGTGGAAACAATGGTCTTACCACTTTCCTGTAGCCCTTGACCCTTTGTGCCCTAATCAACTATGTAAAGATTATCAAAATAAAGTAATAAATAAAAAAAAAAAAATCCAGCTCCCTGCTGATGTGCCTAGAAAAGCATATGGGCCCCTGCACACACATGGGAGACCCAGAAGAAGCGCCTAATTCCCAGCTTTGGCCATTGCTTGGGGAGTGAACAAGCGGATGGAAGATTTCTCTCTCTCTCTCTTTGTAACTCTGCCTTTCAAGTAAATAAATTAAAAAAAAGAAGAAGAAGAAGAAAAGAGGGGCCTGGCGTGATAGCGTTGTGGTTAAAGTCCTCTTCTTGCATGAACCGGCATCCCTTATGGGCGCCAGTTCTAATCCAGGCGGCCCTGCTTCCCATCCAGCTCCCTGCTTGTGGCCTGGGAAAGCACTCTAGGATGGCCCAAAGCCTTGAAACTCTGAACCTGCGTGGGAGACCCAGAAGAGGCTTTAAGCTCCTAGCTTTGGATTGGCATGGCTCCAGCCATTGCGCTCACTTGGGGAGTGAACCAGCGAATGGAAAATCTTCCTCCCTGTCTCTCCTCCTCTCTGTATATCCATATTTCCAATAAAACTAAACAAATCTTAGAAAAAAAAAAAAGAATAATAATAAGAAGAAAAGAAAGTCTGGGGCCCGGCACTATAGTGTAGTGGTTAAAGTCCTCACTGGGATCCCATTTGGGTGCCAGTTCTAATTCCGGCGGCCTCACTTCCCATCCAGCTCCCTGCTTTGGCCTGGGACCTTGCATTGGGACCCTGCATCTGTATGGGAGACATGGAAGAAGCTCCTGGCTCCTGGCTCCAGATTGGCTCAGCTCCAGCCATTGTGGTCACTTGGGGAGTGAACCATCGGATGGAAGATCTTCCTCCCTGTCTCTTCTCCTCTCTGTATATCTGCCTTTCCAATAAAAATAAATCAATAAAAAAAAAGAAAGGTCTGGGGCGTGTGAGTGTACAGCCGGTGGTCAGCTTGCGGCCACGAGGAGGAAGTGCAACTGCCAAGGAAGGACGCAGAGACGGAAAGCAAGGCCTCAGTTCTGCAGCTTGAAACCCTGGATCCAATCAGGCTCCAGCCTTCACTTAGGTGAGCTAATAACACCTTCTGTTTCTGGCATCACCTCACACTGCTTTAGGGCAGGCCTCCAGTCTCCATCCCTCCCCAAGTCACCTGGGTGAGTGGAGGGGTGGTGCTGGGCTTTGTGGGAATGCTGGGTCCCAGGCTCCAGCCTCATGCAGGATGAGTGCTCTGCACCCTGGCCTCTGAGCACTGCCCTGCCCCTCGCACCCTCACACATCCAGCCCCCTCCTCACCTGGATCTTGTAGTTGAAGAACTGGGCAGAGCGCTTGAAGCGGCGGAAGCCCTCCGTCTCTTTGGTGGCCACCGTGAGGACTAGCAGGTTGTCTGTGGACAGAGAAGGGCATGAATGGGAGTGGATGCAGGAGGGGAGGTGATGGGGGAAGGGGGAGCAGGGATGATTACCTGCAAGGACCTGGCAGATCCTGGCACAACCCACACCCACCTCCAGGCCACCCCAGACCACCCCTGCCCCACCCAATGAGGCCCAGGCAGGAGGGCTGTGACCGCTCAGCTGGGCTCTGCTCTCCCGTGGCCCCGGGGCTCACAGGGACAGGGAGAATCCACTTGGATGCTGCCGCTGGGGGACCCCTCTGCAGCCGGCGTGGGACCTTAGCCTCTGCGTGGCAAACACAAGGCTCAATGCACCACCTCCACACCCTGGGCAGACATTACTAATCATCTCCACAGTGCTTCTCCCAAGCCTCACCCAGTTCCTGGGTCTCCCAACACTGCACTCCGAACAGTCAGCCCAGAGTGGAAGTCACCTGAAATCCGCCCCCCACCCCCACAGTCTACCTGTGACCTCGGGACAGACGAGCTGTCAGTGTCTTCCTAAGAAGGGGCCTCTCTGAAACTCTGCAGTATGATTCCCCTCTGACAGAATCTGCTGGAAACAGCCCCCCACCCAGCAGCCGTGGGAGCACCAGAAGCCCCTCATAGACCACCCTGTGGGCTCCGTAGGGATTTGAGGAATGTGGAGTTGGCCTGCCCATCCCAGCTCCACCCCTTAGAGCTGTGTAGCACTGGGTAAACCCTAGGCCTCTCTGAGACTGAGAATAAAGAGGAGCCCCCACCCCAGGGTGAGGGGACCAGCTGAGTGGGACCAGGCATGGAAAGTGCTTCCTGGGCCACCCACACAGACCCAGGGCCTCAGCCAGAGATGGTGGCTGGGAGTGACCTGCCCTGGCATGCAAGCTCCCCACCAATCCCAACCCAGCAGGGTGATGTTCTCACCCTCCAGCAGGGGGCCTCACTTCCTGTCCTGGCTACGTGGGGGCCCCCTTCCTCTAACCTTCTCCACACCACAGGAGCAGCAGGTACAAAGATATCCTGGCCCCACAGCACCTCAGGAAGCCACCTCAGCTCACCATAAATGCAGTGTGAATCAGAATCCCCTGAGGATGTAGGACTCAAGGAACCAAAGGCCAGGTCAGCAGCAGGCAGCTGAGGCCACCCCCGCCCCTCTGTCCTAGCAAGGCGGGAGAAGCCTGGGCCCCATCAACAAAGGGCTCTCGCTTACCAGGGCTGGCTGAGGCTGGCCCCAGACAGGGGGCTGGCGCCAGGCAGCCCTGCAAGAACTGGCAGATCAGATGGGGCAGGAGGGGGTACAGATGCACCCAGCAGGTATGGTGGATTAGGGGGAAGAGACCTCACCAACTGATTCAGGTCCAGAAAGGGGAGCAAGGTTCCCCAACTCCTGCCAGGATGGCTAAGTTCCCACTCTCCCCTTCTCAACAGGGGCTGTCTGGGGACAGGAGAGTGTCACATTTCAGGCATGGACAAAGCCAGCCTGTGAGTCTAGCTTCCCCAAGGAGCAGTCAGCAGTCAGCAGAGGAGGGGCAGAGGGCTAGGATCTCAAATTCCTGCATCCAAACCCCAGCCCTCGGGCCGCACTTCTGGGCAACACACTGGGCGCCAAAGCACTGGACCCAGGAGAACCCTGCGCTGCACAGTTAGGACATTGAGACCCACCAGAGACAGGGAGGACCTGACCCCAGGAGTGGCCCCGGGAAGCCCAGACCCCAGGCCCCTCTCGTAATCTCACTACATTCATGTATCGCCCAGGTAAAGAACCTCAGTGTTTTCTGCCTTTTGTGATTTTTGCCTTACTTGCTTGGCTGGGGGCTGGGTGAACTCCAGGACACCTGGCAGGTCACGTAAGCAGAGCACTCCTCAGGAAGGAGGCCCCTTGGTGTTAGATAAGACCCACTACCCTATAGCCCACCAGTTCGTACGTTTTGAAAGTTGCTTGCTTCAAACCCACCAACAGAAGCCTGCCAACTTGCTCTTTTTAAAAGTTAACAGATAAACTGACCAATCATGACTGTATAATTATATGAAATTGGTCTAAAAAACCCTGTGCTGTTGAACCTCAGTCCTTTTTTTTTCTGGACCTTCTGCTGCAGCTTTTCCGGCTTCAGCCACCGTGGCGGCGGCTGCTACTGCTCCCCCGTGCTGGGAAGGCTAGCTTAGTTCGAATAAATCGCCTTTATGCATTTGCATTGACTTCAGACTCCTGATGATTTTCTGGGAATCACAAAATCTGGGCACAACGCAGGCCCAAGCTGGCAGCCAGGCCTTTTGTTGAAATGGCCCTGTCCCCCCACCTGTCATCCAGGAAACTTTCTAGCCAGATTAGGAGGTTGGGCCCTAGCCCTTCACCCACCAGACCCACCTGCCTCCCCTGGCTCACGCCTTTTGCCAGGTGTCTACACTTGGACCTTAACAAGCCCTGCCTTCCCTGGGTCTCCAGTGCCTACCCCGCAGTCAAGAGCCCCATGAGACCACTAGGTTGGGAGGAACCAAGTTGACCAGGATGTCAGCCTTGCAGGGGAAGTGGGCAAGACCAGAGGCTGGGGCTTAGGGCCACAGGTCTTATAAGGAGTTATTCGAGTATCCCACCCTGGAACCGGCGCCATTTCTTCTTCCTCACAGCTCATAAAATTCACGCCAGTCCAGCCATCCACCAATCAGATATAACTTGGCATTCCACCTGAGAATCCCACCCCCAATCTTCCAGCCCCTTCCCCAACCCCGCCCACTCACCAATCATCCCTAGGCATTCACCTGCAGGTACCAATCCCCTGGGGCCTGCCCTCAAGCCCTCCCAGTCCTGGCAGACAAAAAGGCCCCCAGGTGCAGCTCTCCCATCTCTTCTTTGCTCTTCTCTAACTCTCTCCTCCTTCCAGCCTCTCCTCCCTCCCCCCTTCCCCTTTTCCTGCCCCGCTGGAATAAACCTCCTAAGATCCCTCGTTGCATCTGGTGTTTTCAGCTCGGAAGTAACTGCGTGTAAAATATCGTAATATCATATGAACTAGAACTCAACCACTGTTTTAAATAACTAACAGGTCTGAGGTGGGCCCAGAACTCTGGATCTTTCCTGCACTCCTCAGGTGATTTCTGACATCGACTATCCTGGGGGTTCACCATCCCAGCCCAAGGCTCTGATCCTCTGCCTCTAGGCTCCAATGCTGGGTCTGGGGGCGAGAGGACAAAAGGCAAGCCCCGCCCCACGGACCCTGGCAACACCTCTGACTGCCCTCTCCCTGAAAAGCGCTGCCAAGTCCAGGTCGCATTCATTCTCTTGATCTCATTGCCACACTTACTCCTTTCCACCAGAAGCCCCTGGCCCACCTCCCCCAGGAAGCCCTACTTCATAAGGCCCAACCCTCATGCGGTCATTCCATTTACCCAACACTTGGTATCTGGGCACAGACCTGCACCTCTGCCCTGGGCCAGGTCTGGGTCACATTTTTATTTTCTTGGTCTTTTCCATCCCGGCTAGGATGGAGCATGACCAAAATGTGGTGATTTTAAGAGCCAGGACAAGGAGCCATATCCGATGTGACCACTGCCACCCGATGAGGTGGGCAGCATGTCTGTGGATGAAGAGCCTGAGGCACAGAGCGGCTAAATAACTTGCCAAGTGCCCAGAGGCAGGGAGCACGGGCTGACCACACACTGAACATCACCATGTGCTGGCCAAGAGCCCAGCATTTCAACAGCCCCAGCTGCAGACACCCTGCAGCATCACCTGCCCTCTCTCATGCCCGGCTGGCCTGGGCCCCCAGTGCCAGTCATGCGGGAAGGCCTCTTTCCGGCCCGTCCCCAGGCCAGTCAGGGCTCTGAGCAGCCACAGGGTGCCAGCGTGGCTTCCCAGTCCCAGGACTCCCCAGTCTGCTTTCTGTCTGCTGCAGCCAGCCTGCCTTGGGCTGAGTCCAGGGCGTACATCAGGCCTGGCACCTGAACACTCAGCTGCCCCTACCTGTTGCCTGGAATCCAGTAATGATTTTCCCAGATGGAGAAAGGAGGGACAACAGACAAGGAAGGGAGAGACAGACTGCCGGGAAGCTAAAGGACCTTTCCAAGCCTTAGTTTTCTAGTCTGTGAAAGAGGAGGAACACAGACAACCACCCAACAGGTCCTTCCTTGCTGCAGGCGACATCCAACCAACTGTAACCCCAGAACATTTGGCAGAAAGCTGCTTCTACACTCAGCATGTGCACAGGTCCCCTTTTTGCCATCACTCCCGAAACAACACAGCGTACCTACCTGCAGTTCCTAAAAGTCAGAGTTACAGAAGGAAAGACAGAGATCACCCTTCTGCTGGGGGCCTCAGGTGTGCGGGTGGGCCACAGTGAAGCCAGGAGCCCTGGGCTTCCTCCAAGTCACCCATGTAGGTGCAGGGACCAAGCACCCAGGCTACCTTTGGCTGTTTTCCCAAGTACATTAACAGGGAGTTGGATCCAAAGTAAGACGCTGGCATAACATGCCATGGCTTCACCTGCTGTGCCATAACACCAGCTGCAATATAACAAGTGTTTGTATATTTATATTGCATTAGGGATTATCAAACACCTAGAGATGGTTTAAGGTGTATGGGAAGGACCAGCATTATGGTGTAACAGGGTAAGCTGCCACTTGCAGCACCAGCTTCCCATATGAGCACCAGTTCAAATCCCGGCTGCTCCACTTCCAATTCAGCTTCCTGCTAACGCACCTGAGAAGGCAGCAGAAGATGGCCCAACTGCTTGAGCACCTGCATCCATGTGGGAGATCTGGAAAAAAACTTCTGGCTCCTAGCTTCAGCCTGGCCCAACGGTGGTCAATATGGCTATTTGGGGAATGAACCAGAGAAGGGAAGGTCTCTTTCTCTCTTTCCCCTCCCCTCATTCTGTCTATCAAGTAAATAAATAATAACCTGTATCACTAAACAAAGTGTGCAGAAGGTGTGTGCGGTTTGATGCAAATATCACACCCTTTAATACAGGAAACTCGAGCAGCCTTGGGTTTCAGTGTCTGGGGAACCCGTGCACGTAGACACGAGGGGTGACTACACCTCCCCCAGAGATGTCTAAGGATCCCACAGTGGATGTCATATGGTGCTCAGCATCGTGGCCACGAGGCCCTTATCCCTGCGAGTCTCCCTGAAGAGGCCACTGCATAGGGCAGGAGCTATCCAGAGACCCAGGGGCCGCCTCCGGAGAGCGGGGCACATGCAAACCCAAGGAGGGGATCCTCATAGGATCGGACCTGGCTGGGCACCACTGGTGGCCCCCCTGCCCCAGCAGTCCCTGCCAGGTGAGGAAGAGAGGAAGAAGATGGTATATGGAAGCAGGCCTTGATGTCACGGCACGGCCATGACATGCCCAAACTGCCTTATGGGAAGGTAGGAGGCAGAACACTCTTCCTGTAGCCTCTCCCTAGCTGGGGCTGAAGCCATCCACAGGTCTGGCAAAATGGCAGGACATGGGGAGTCCCGGTGCCTGGTAGCTATGCTCGGGTAACTCACTGCTTGCCGTGAAACAACCTGACCTGCACAAGCCCAGCTGGTCTCCTGGAGCCATGTCCCTCAGCAGCTGCCCTTCCCTTGCCATCACCGAGCCAAGGCCTGCAGGGACAGGCGTGGACCCCGCCCGAAGGCCAGGGAGCAGGATACACATCTGGCCTCCCACTCTCCAGCTCCCCACCCCTCTGCCTGTCTTCATGATGCACCATCAAAGGCCTTTCCTATCCCCTGCATCGGACGGGAAGCTCCCAGGACAAGTAATGTCTCCTTGCTCAGACCCAGGGCTTTCCCAACACTGCAGCAAATCCCCTTCCCCAAGCTGGGACCCACTGCACACCCCCAGTGTCTGTTCCTAATTGCATATTCTTCCAGCTGCACCATGCCAGCCACCTGCCAGGGGGTGGGAGCAGCTGGCCTCTCTGGGGGCAGCGAGCAGCTCAGGCAAGGCCTGCTGGGAAAATGACCATTTGTGCTGAGTACCTGTCCAGCTGCCTGTGGGTCCCACCTCAGTTGGGTGTGGGGACAGAGACACCCAGAGTTGGGGGCCAGCAAGTGACACATCTGGGAACAGCTGTGGCAACCAGCCCGTTTTCACATCTACAAAACAGGGCATATAATTTCTCACCTATAAAGGCAGCACATAGAGCAAGGAAATCTGAGGACTCAACATAACAGCAGCCTGACATGGGGCCCTCACAGGAGAGAAGACAGGTTCTGCTGGGTGTTCTCCCTGCGTGGCCTCTGCTGCCCACCCAGCTCTCTGCGAGGGCAGCTGCAGCCCAGTCATCAGTATCACCCCTCTCTGGCCATCTCCTGGGATGATCTTGGGGTGGGAGGCTCACATGGACAAAAGCAAGCCAAAGAGAAGTACAGGCAAGATTCTAGTGCAGCAGCCTAGTAGCTAAAGTCCTCACCCTTGCATGCACCGGGATCTCATATGGCCGCCAGTTGGTGTCCCAGCTGTTCCACTTCCGATCCAGCTCCCTGCTTGAGGCCTGGGAAAGCAGAATGGAGGATGGTCCAAAGCCTTGGGACCCTGCACCTGTGCTAGACAGAGATCTTCTCTCTGTCTCACCTTCTCTCTGTATATCTGCCTTTCCAACACAAATAAATAAATCTTTAAAAGCAAAGCAAGTCCATGCAAAAGAGAAGGGGTATTATGGGGCCTCTGGCTTTGGTCAGTGAGGGGGCCTCCAGGACACAGGCCCTTTGCACACCCTACCAGCTATCAGCCCTATGCTTAGCCATTCCCTCAATGACTGTTTCTTTTTAAATTTTATTTTATTTTATTGGAAAGGCAGATTGCCAGAGAGAGAGGAGAGACAGGAACATCTTCCATCCTCTGGTGCACTCCTCAAACGGCCACAATGAGCACAGCTGAGCTGATCTGAAGCCAGGAATCAGGAGCTTCCTCTAGGTCTCCCGAGTGGGTACAGGGTCCCAAGGTTTTGGGTCATCCTCCACTGCTTTCCCAGGCCACTAGCAGGGAGCTAGTGGAAGTGGAGCAGCTGGGACACGAACCAGTGCCCATATGGGATCTTGGCATTTGCCAATGGTATTCATGCCAGAACTATTTTTTTTTTCTTTCAGATTAATGATTGAAGGAGAGATTGAATGATCGAAGAGAGGGAATCTCCCACCTTCTGGCTTACTCTCCTAACAACCACAATAGCTGGCACTGGGCTAGCCAAGGCCAGGCACCCGAAGCTCCATCGGGGATTCCCCCGTGACTGGCAGGAAAGCAAGCATCTGGGCCATCAGCCGTGGCCTTGCAGGTGCATGAGCAGAGAGCTGGACAGGAAGCGGAAGCAGGCTCCATTCCAGTCATTTCCATACAGGATGTCAACGTCCCAAGTGATGGTGGTGTAACCCCACTGGGCCTGTCATGAGGCTCTGCTGGTACCCCAGACACTGGAGGCCCTGTGTCCAGTGAGACACCCTGACCCACCCACTGTTCAGCGCTTTTAACTTTTATTTTTTTAAAGATTTATTTTATTTTTATCGGAAAGGCAGATACACAGAAAGGAGATACAGAGAGAAAAATCTTCAGAAAGCTGGAAGGGAATGGAACAGCTGGGATACGAACAGGAGCCCATATGGGATCCCAGTGTGTGCAAAGCAAGGATTTTAGCCACTAGGCTACTATGCTGGACCCCACAATTTGTGGGGTTTTTTAATGTTTATTTATTTATTTATTTATTTATTTATTTTTAAAAATGTATTTTTGTTGTTGTTGGAAAGTCAGATTTACAGAGAGAAGGAGAGAGAAAGATCTCCCATCCTCTGATTCACTCCCCAAGTGGTCATAATAATCAGAGCTGAACTGATCCAAAGCCAGGAGTCAGGAGCCAAGAGCTTATTCCAGGTCTCTCACACGGGTGCAGGGTCCCAAGGCTTTGGGCCGTCCTCGACTGCTTTCCTAGGCCACAGGCAGAGAGCTGGATGGGAAGTGGGACTGTTGGGATTAGAACCAGTGCCCATATGGGATCCCAGCACGTTCAAGGCGAGGACTTTAGCCACTAGGCCTCGCAGCAGGGCCCAAGATTTCCTCTTTTTAAATTAAAAGTTAAGGGCCCAGAACAATGGCTCACTCCTCACCCTGCAAATGCCTGGATCCTACAAGCGGCAGGTTCATGTCCCAGATGCTCCATTTCCCATCCAGCTCCCTGCTTGTGGCCTGAGAAAACAGTGGAGGATGATTCAAAGCTTTGGGATCCTGCACCCACGTGGGAGACCCAGAAGAAGCTCCTTGCTCCTGGCTTTGAATTAGCTCAGCTCCAGCCGTTGCGCTCACTTGGGGAGCAAACCAACAGGCAAAATGTCTCTCTGAGCTGTATATCCTTTTTCCTGTATATCTGCCTTTCCAATAATTAATACATAAATAGATAAACAAATCTAAAAAAAAAAAAACTTTCCTGGTATCTACACACATCCTCCCATGTCAATCATCTCTAGATAATTTAGGATATCAAGTACAATGTTATCTCACGCAGGGAGTACTGGCAAGGGGGCAAAACTCCACTCTCTCGGCTCAGTCCAAAACCGATTTTTTTTTTTTTTCTGACTACGTTCCATCTGCAGCTAGTGGATTCTGTGGACTCAGATGCCTAGGACCCAATGGGCTAGCTGGACTCGGGGTTCTGCGGTCCGCAGTTCTTCCCTGGGGTTCCTTCTGCTGTCCCTCGGCGCCCACATCTCACGCACCACACCATTCCTCACCCAGGTTGTCCAGCAAGGGAGAGAGCCGGCTGGGCTGGAATTGTGTGCAGCCCATGCCCTCCTCGGCGTTCTGGGGTCGTCAGCGGGCAGCTCTCGGGGTGGCCCGCCCAGAGCGGAGGGGAGGGACACTGGGGTTGGAGTCCAGGAGCCCCAGGACCAACCACCAGATAACCCGCTCCAATTCCCTCACGTTGCTCACGTTTGACCTGGACAGAGGAAGCCCAGCCTGGCAGGGAGCCGAGTTTGGGATAACTACTCCACAGGGGTGAGCCCCAACGCCAGAACTGGACCCACAAACTGCGCGCCCTGAGCAAGCGCCCGAACCCATGCTGGCGGGCCACCCTGCCCAACTGGAAAATGGGCTAACAGAGGGAACGGTGTCCGAGGCAGCGACGGCCTCAGGCCGCAGCCAGCGCTCCGCAAACAGCCCATGCCGTGAGCGCTGTCCCCGTGGCACCTCAGCTGTCCCCATTCCCTCTCCGCCCCCACCCCCGGCTCACCTATAGGGCCCGGGGTTCCGCCCCCAGGAAAACCGAACGCCTGCTCCCTAGACTCCCTCCCCAGCCAGGGCCTCCGGCGCGTACGGGGACGCTGCCCAGGCAGCCCCAGGTCCAGCCCGCCCGCCGAGCGCTCACCCTCCGGCTTGCCATCACCCTTCGCTGGGACCAGAAGCAGCCAGCCCAACGGGGCCAGGAGCAGCAGGGACCGCATGGCCGGGGCCTGGGGACGCTCGCGGCGGCGCGGGGCGCTGGGAACTCGGCACTGGGAACTCGGCGACGCGGCTGGCGGGGCGGCTGCCACGCACGGGACCCGCCCCGGGGGCGGTGCCTCCACGGGAGGAAGGCGGAGGGCGAGCCCAGCCCCGGGCCAAGACCCCGGCTTCCCTGCCCAGACTTTGGTAACTCTGCACCCCTGCGCCCCAGGCTCCCAGGAAAATGCAGGGCTTCCCAGCGCCTCTGCTCTACGGAGCTTGCCCGGGTTAAGGAGGTTACTGGAGCGCTTAGGACAGCCCGGGACGACCACCGCTCCCCACCCCAACACACACCTGGGGAAGGGGATCCAGGAGGACTGGAGTTTGTCCAGAGCCCCCTCCCCACTCCCACACAACTTCTTGAGTCTTTAATCCCTGAAGGCAAACTGCGAGCCCAAGGTTAATCGTTACTGAGCAAATGAATGAGCGGAATGCTTAGGGCGCCTACGCAGACGCCCGGGGACTGCCCCAGCTGGGAACATCCAGCGCTGACCACGGGCCCTGAGACACCATGGAACCGGACCCTGCCGCCTCTCTCCAGCAGATGGGGTTCCAGAAGAGTGGATGGTCGCTGCCATCCCGAGAGAGGAGGTTCCCGTACAGGAGTCAGTGGGATGGGAACAGGCATGGATGGCCCACGGATGGGAACATGGACAGGGAGATAAACAGCACCCAGACAGGACCTCCACTCCCTCTCGGGCAGGCCGCTGTCCCCAGGACATTGGCTGGTCAAAGCAGTGTGTGCAGAATGCCCTGGCTCAGCAAGGATAACCTATGCACCGGAGAGCCAGGATGGAAGATGGTTGTAGGCAAATGTGGTTATTTCCAGCTTAAAGATGTTTTTATACTGAATAATTTTTAGGTAGTCTTTACTTTCTTATTTCTACTTTTTTTTTTTTTTACACTAAATCTACTCCTCCTGGACAATTACACCACACCCACACCCGGTATTTTTAGAAAACAGGGACAATCACTGGGGACTCCACCGCCTTGCACAAAGCTCTGCTCCCGGCAGAGCTGGCAGCTGGCAGACAGGAGGCGGAGAGGAACTTAGCCACCAGCTGGGGCAGACGCGAGGAAGAGGCGTGGGCGGAACCCTGGGGTCTCCGCCTCTCCCCTGGGACCCAGAGCAGGACTCAGAGCTGGAAGCCACCGGATGTTTGAGATTTGGGACGATACAGACCCAGATGTCAGACTGCTACAGGGGGAAGTCTGGGGAGCGCAGAAGCAAGTCAGGCCAGTGTCATTTTAAAAATTATTTATTTATGGAAAGAGTTCCAGACAGAAGGAGAGACAGAAAGATTTTTCATGCTCTGGTTCACCCCCCAAATGGCCGCAATGGCCACAGCTGAGCTGATCCGAAGCCAGGAGCCAGGCTTCTTCCAGATCTCCCACGTGGATGCAGGGGTCCAAGCACCCGGGCCATCTTATGCTTTCCCAGGCAGGTTAGCAGGGAACAGGATAGGAAGTGAAGTAGCTGGGACTCAAACCAGTGTCCCTAGGGAATGCCAGCGCCACAAGTGAAGGTTTAGCGTGCTACTCTCGTGCTGGCCCCTGGCTAAGTTCCCTTCTCAACACTTTCTCTGTGTCATACTCAGTGTTGTCTCTACTTGTGAAATGAGGAAACTTGGGGCTCCATCACGTAGCTGACACGGGGCCATTGCAGGGAGGGGGCATAGGTACTCGGTTCTAACTCACCCTACATGAGTGTCCAAGGAGAAGGGTGCTGGAGGACTGCAGATTGGGGCTGAGGGGAAGCATATCCCCAGGTCCTGAAGCTGTGGTCCTGTCCCTCACATTGCCTGCTCTCTGCCTCCTTTGGAATCTACTTCCTGTTCTCTTCCCAAATTGGGAGAAGTTGTCAGTGGCTGGAACTCCATCCAAAGCAGGAGCCTGTCTCTTTAACCAGCAGCGGCTGCTTCCCAGCTGTGGCTCCGGCTACGTGCTCCACGTGCTGTGCGCAGTTAAAGGCGCAGGACTCTGGCCTGGGAGGGACTGGAAGAGCGCGTGGGCGGGGCTGCCGCCAGTGCTGCGAAGCCTTCCTCACTTTCTCCTGCTCTGTGTTGTTGGTTAGGGAGAGCCAATGGCCTTAGGGGACTGTCACCTTGTGCTGTGCTTGCTGCCAGCAGGTTGCTGTTTATATATATATATGTATATATATATATGTATATGTTATCGATTCCATGTTTTCTATGAGCTTTTGGAAGCCCTAGTGGAATTATGTATCTGGAGGCAAATGTAATTGTCCAAGGAATGGAGACAGTAGCTGTCCACAGGGACCAAAACAGCTGGCCCGGCGTCTAGGCAGAGCGAAGCTTTAATGCGATCCTTGCACTCTTTCTGCCTTTTAAATTGCTTCCCAAGATTTCAAGCTTGTGAATTTATTTCTCATTACTTATTTGAAAGCCAGAGAGGTCTTCCATGCACGAATTCACTCCTTCAATGATGGCAGCAGCCAGGCTGAAGCCAGGAGCCAGGAACTCCACTGGGTCCCCACATGCGTGTCAGGAACACAAGACCTTGGGCCAGCCTCTGTTGTCTTCCCAGGGTACACACTCGTAGAAAGCTGGATTGGATGTAGGCTTCATGTTGATATAGTGTGGGAGATGCCCAAGGAGTGGCACTACCCACTACGCCGCACTGCCCACTCCTGTGCTTGTTGCACTTTCTGTCATAAACAATTGGTCTTGTTCCTAGTACAAATACCTTGGGAAAACACAGAAACCGGACCCGGCTGCGTGGCCTAGCGGCTAAAGTCCTCACCTCCCTCACCTCAGGATCCCATATGGGCGCCGGTTCTAATCCCAGCAGCTCCACTTCCCATCCAGCTCCCTGCTTGTGGCCTGGGGAAGCAGTTGAGGCTGGCCCAAAGTCTTGAGACCCTGCACCTGTGTGGGAGACCTGGAAGAGGTTCCTGGTTCCCGGCAGAAAAGGGGAGAGACAGAGAGGAAGATCCTCCATCTGATGATTCACTCCCCAAGCAGCCGCAATGGCTGGAGCTGAGACAATCCAAAGCCAGGAGCCAGGAGCTTCTTCCAGATCTCCCACATGGATATAGAGTCCCAAGGCTTTGGGCAGTCTTCAATTGCTTTCCCAGGTCACAAGCAGGGAGCTAGATGGGAAGCAGGGCCACCAGAATTAGAGCCAGCACCCATATGGGATCCCAGTGCATGCAAGGTGAAGACTTTAGCCACTATGCTATCGCACCGGGCCCGGAAATAAACTGTTGTTCAAGCACTCCATGAGAGCACTGTCTCCCCATTTCTTTTGGATTGCTCTTCTGCCCAGGACACACAAGATAAACTTGCAGTTGTGGCCACTTGGGGACTGAACCCTTGGATGGAAGATCTTTCTGTCTCTTCTTTGTATAAATCTGGTCTACTTTTCCAATAAAAATTAATTTAAAAAAACGAAAACACAGGCTAAGCCAGGCAGTGTGCAAAATGCTTCATGTGTTTGTCCAATTTGAATCTGAGAGCAATCCTATTTTGAGTTTACGGTTGGAGAAGCAGGGCCCGAGAGGGCAGGCTTGCATGCACATGCCAGGCTCTTACTTGCCCTGCTTGCCTTGCTGCAGCCACGGTGCCGACCCTCATAGCTTAGTCCTTCTGCCTTCGGCTGGCAGAGAATGGCCATGGAGTTAAGACCATGAAGAACGAGCATTTCCTTTTAAGATCTTATTTGTCTGGGTCTTTTAAAGATTGGCTTTATTTACATGAAATGCAGAGAGTTACCGCGGGGAGAGCCAGAAGTTTTTCCATTGGCTGGCTCGCTCCTCAAACGGCTGCAACAACCAGGGTGAGCCAGGCTGAACCCAGACACCAGGAGCTTCGTCTTGGTCTCCCACGTGGGTGCCAGGGGAGTTGGGCCATCCTCTGCTGCTTTCCCAGGTGCATCGGCTGGGAGCTGGATGGGAAGTGGAGCAGCTGGGACCGCCCTGAGCCGTCTCATGGACTCAGGGATCTGCCCCCCAGATGGTTACAGAGGGGGGCAGAGATGTGAGTCTGTTTCACATGTTCGGAACTAAAAGCCCGTGTGGGCATCTGCCTCACTGGGCTCAGTGACCACCATGGATCCCCAAAGAGGCTTTTGGCTTCATAGACAAGGTGAGCCCTGCTCCTTGGCTATCTGTTCTAGCATAGCTGGCTGGGTCTCCTCTGGCTCACATCCATTCGTGAGCACATGCTGTGGCAGTCGGGGTGAATTCCCTGTCATTCCGGGGGCCTAGTGCATTTGCACAGCCACAGGAAGCCACCTCAGATGACCGCCAAACTTGCAACAACTGCGCCTTGTCCAGACACCGAGGCTGAGACACTTGCCCATTGTCTGCCTCAGATCCAAATGGAATCTTTTTTTCCCCCGCCAACGTACAGATTTTCAGATAATGCACAGTGCACGGCCATTCACAAGCGGTGAGCTCTTGATGTCTTATTTAGCAAGTCAGAACTCAGGCTCGTCATCAAGAAGATGGCTTGAGCTGCATCCATGCAGTGGACAGGCCTGGCAGGTGTCATCAAAGCTCCCCAAGGAGTCTGGTTTTCATGGCTCTCCTCTCTCTGTACTTTTCCATACCGTTCTAAGTTTTTTTTTACAACGTGGATCATTTTTGCAGAAACAAAAAAACAATTATTTCTTTTTATATCTTAGGGCTGCAGAATCCATCAGTAGCAAACTGGGCCAACACGTGTTGGACTTGGCAGGTGCCCTCTTTTTTTTTTAAGTACGTGAATTGGAGGTTTCCAGTCTATCCAGAATCACGCCTTCGTAAGAATTTCACCCTTTGCTGCCCGGGAACCAGCGGTAGCCACTGTCCCTCCCCGCAATGTGGCTCCGCCCTCTGCTCCCCGGCCCACCCCCTTTTACACCTGTCGCAAAAGAGGGGCAGCGCTTGGCGGCTGGTGTGTTTGACGGCCGGAGGCACCCGAGGAGGCGGAGGAGGAGGAAGCGGGCTGGCGGCGGCTGTGGCGGCTCTGGCGCGGCGCGGGGC